CCCCAGGCCGTTGTAAGTTATGACATCCCTGGGCTGGTGGTCCTGGGTTCTACACGAAAGCAGGCTGAGCCACCAGGGAAACCTTTTTCTCCTCCACTTGCTTTCGATCATGGTGTCCCTTTGCAGTAACAATAAGTCTAACTGAGATAGCCCCTTTTCGGAATTGGATAGAAGAAACACATATACCTCCTAAAGCTTGAGCCACGTCTTCCCGCCCACACTAGGAAGGATGTCAATTCTCTGTGTGTGACTCCCTGCATCCCCAGGGAGGCCCCAGCAATAGCCCACAGAGTCTGCTCCAGGAACGATTCCTTGGTCACGCTGTGTGAATCGCATCCCGGCAGCCTCCGAGTGTTCAGCATATCTCCTCTCCCGTGGAGATGCGGATTTTCTGTGTCGGCCGACCTTTTCAGATTGGGTGGCTGGGTCACTGGGAAGAGTTGAACGGGAACCTGTTTGAGAGAACACCCAGGGACTGTGTGCACGGGAAGTGTGTGTGTGTCGGGAGGGAAACAGGACCCTTCTGGTCTATGCAGTCAGAACAGGACACAGATGTGTGGATCGGTGTGTGTGTAGCTCACTGGGAACAGGGTGCCCAGCCCTGTGTGCTCTCACAGGTCCCTGCTCTTAGCTCACACTACAGTTTGATCTCTTTCGCGCTGCCCTCTTCCCAAGCCTGTTAGCTTCAGGGCTTTCTCTGAAGGCCACAGGATGCCGACGTTTCTGCCTTACCTGTTTCATGACCCTCTGGGATCCAGTGACAGCCTGCCACCACATCCATCAGAGCTGGCTTCCATCGCTGTGTGACCTCAGGCAAGTCAGGTGACCTCTCTGAGCCTCCACGACTCCATGCTTTATTTAGCAATGGAGGAAAAAAAAAAAAAAAAAAAAACCTCGCCTTGAGTGTCAGGCTAGTTTGCCAGGCCTTCAGTTCAGTCAATGTGCGTGTCTCTGTGAGGAGACTGAGAGGACCCAGCCCTGCTCTAGGGAAGGTTAGTTCATTGGACCTTGGACTAAGTGGCTGGTGGCTTCCTAGGAAGGGCCATTTGTGTTCATGCCCTACCTGCTTGGTCTTTTCCTCTAACAGTGATGCATTCTCCCTGTAAAACATCCAGGGAAAAAGTCCACACACCTCTTCTCTCAGAGGGGTATCTGTGTGTATACACATGTACATGCGTGCATTCGTGCATGGTATGAATGGCCCCTCCCAAGCCTGAGACAAGTGCATGTCAGGACCACTTTACTTACCCTTCCTGTGACATATTTGTGTCCCCTGTCATTTTCTTGCCTCCAAATCCCCCTGCTTCAGAACCTCTAGGACTAGAACTCTGAGCGTAGCATGCCGGGCCAGCGTTGGCCTGGTACAGCCCTTTCTGTAGCACTGGTTAGATGGGGTGTTCAGATCCTAACAAACCCCATTTCCAGCACCTCCCTCTTAAGATCCTTGGCAGCTGCCTGTAGCCAGCCCAGCTCGCTTCTATGGGGGCTTTATGCCCTTCTCTGGCCTCTGACCTTTGTCTCTAGGCCATCCGGCCTCGGGAGGAGTCGAACGTGACAGTACCGCCTTTCAGTGGATCCTGATAGGTCAGAAGCCACGGCCATGGTCACCTGTGTGGGCGTTCACTTGGTATTTGACATTTGAAATAAGGCTGGATTTTTTTTTTCCTGTCCATTGGTGTCCATGTGCCTTCTATGTTGCCCAGTATAGTTTGGTTCCTTCAAGAGGAAGCCATGTACTGGTGTAGGGAACTTTCTAGAAGTCAGCCAGCATCGACTTAAAGGAGCCGCTGATATAGGAGTGTCTCTGTTCAGAGTGAATGGAGGGTGACTGGTGAAGGCCCAGGCCTGCATCAAAGAAATCAAGACAGAGTTTCTTGACATGTTTAAAAGTCAGGACATCAAAAGATTTTTTTTATAAGGTTTTATTTTGAATTGTGTGTACCTGTGTGTGTCTATGTGTAGGTCTATGCACATCGAGTGTGGGTACCCATAGAGGCCAGAAGAGGGCATCAGTCTGGAGTTGGAGTTACAGGTGATTGTGAGCAGCCCAATAGGGGTGGTAGGATTTGAACCCTGGTCCTCCTGCAAGAATAGTACATGCTCTTCTCAGCTCAGGCACCTGACATCAAAGTTTGAAGCAGAGCCAAGGCGCCCTGCACTTTTCTGTTTTTTCTTTTTCAAGACAGGGTTCCTCCATGTAGCCCTGGCTGTCCTGGAACTCACTCTAGACCAGGCTGGCCTCGAACTCAGAGATCTTCCTGCCTCTGCCTCTTGAGGGGTGGGATTAAAGGTGTGGCGGTGGCACCTGCCTGGCTCACCCTGCACTTTCAAAATCCTGGTCCTTAATTTGTTCTCTGGTCACCTTCAGTGGCCTTCCAGAAGGTTCTCTGGGTGCTATTGAGAGTTTAAAAGGTTAGGACTTTTTCTAGAGAGTAAGTGGTATCCAGTAGGCTCTAGCACCCAGCACTGGGAATGGCCATCCTGTCCCTCACATTCCAGAGAGGACTGCCACCAACTTTATTCTGTGAAAGATAGTAACCATTCCTAATTAAAGGGCTCAGGGTGCAGTTTTTTTGTGTGTCCCATTCAAGCAGCCAAAGCCCCAAGATCATTGCTAAGTGACATAGACATGGGACGTATGCTTTTCCAGTAACAGGGCTCAGCTTGCCCCTCCACTGTGACAGCCTCTGGGGCCACCTCACTCTCTTCCGCCATAGGGCCTTGTACCCTGCTATTCCCTCTACCTGCAGGTCTGTTGAAGTGCTGTTTCCTCTGAGAGGCCCTCCCTGATTGACTGGCACAACTGCCTCTGATTTTTTCCGCTGGTGGTATCTTTGTTGAGCCCTGGCTCATTGGGTGGTTCTGAGGGCAGAGCTGGTTACACCTGTGTCTAAATCTAGGCACACCTCGGTTGACTTGGCCAACCTACAGAGGAGGATGCACCTCTGGGGGCCACTGTGAAGCTGGGGTCCCTCCCTCTCTTTGGCAGACATGGGGTAGATGGCCTAGCAGAAGTCACTCGTCTCCTTTGCTATGAGCCGTCCTGACATCTTTGTAAATAATCCGCAGGTGTCTGGGCCTCTGTGTCCAGATGCAAGGCTGGAGGCAGGTGGTGGGTGGGATGCTCTTCAGTCCCTGCCAAGAAAGCAGGCAGAATGGGAACCATGTGTTTTGCTCCTGTGGTCAAGTGAGACAGGGTGGGCAGAACCCTGTCTCTGAGTGAGACCATTTAGAACTACGGTTCTCAATCTGTGGGTCACGACCCCCTCCCTTGCAGAAGGCCCAACACCCTTTTCACAGGGGTTACCTAAGGCCATCGGAAAGCACAGGTGTTTACACTCTGGTTCATAACAGGAGCGAAATTACGCTTAGGAAGTAGTGACAAAAATAATGTTATGGTTGGGGGAGTCACCACAAAGGAACCCCCCCCCTCAGACAGCAGAAGGTGTTAGGGGAGTCTGGAAGTGCCCCTGCTCCCCTCCCCTCCTCCCCCCCCCCTACACTTTTGGGCAACTTCCTAACCATCTCTGTGCCTCAGTTTCACTCCAGAAAATGGGGAGCGTCGGCAAGCACGCACTCCCAGGCAGATTGCGAGGATTAAACACTTTGGTGAGGAGGAGGGTCTGACAAAGGGAATGCCAGCTACACACCAGGTGTCCTTCATTCCCTGGCCCAAGTGGCCCTAGACTTCCCTGTCCAGACAAATTCACCGGAGCAAAAGGAGAGGAGCACCCTGGTGGCCCCTAGGGCAGATCTTGACCCTGGGTTTTTGGATCATTCGGTCCCTTACTGTAAATACCCTCCCTCCCCCCCCCCCCAAAAAAAAACACACAGGTTGCTGAAGGTGGGTGCTTTGCTTGGGAACTCAGGCCAGGTGAGGGACGCAGCAACCTGCAATGGCCCGGCTGAAGGCTTAGAGTCCTTGCTAAGGTAGCTGTGGACCCAAGTCAGCACCACCTGGGGTGGGGGGCAGTGGCTTTTGCAGGCTGGAGACTTTGCAATCCTCACCCTGCCCTGGCCCAGTGGGTGGCCGGGGGCGGGAGCGAGAGGCACAGGCGGAGGAGGGCGGGGAGGGGGCGGCGCCTGGGAAAGGAGGCTCAGCTGGCGGCTGGAGGCGTTTGCCTCGGGAGCAGGTCTCAGCTGGAGCCGCAGGCCGGAGCCTCCTTGTCTCTCCTCTGGCCCAGTGGTGGCGGGGACCCGAGCTGCTGGGGTCCGAGCCCCGCGCCCGCCAGTCATGGTGGGTCACCTGCATCTGCAGGCCATGGGGGGCACGCGGGAGCAGAGCCGCGACGGCTTGCTGGACAGTCCCGACTCAGGACTGCCCCCCAGTCCCAGCCCTAGCCCGCCCTTCTACGCCCTGTCGCCGGGCACGCTGGACACCCGTGCCACCACTGAAACTCCAGCGGTAAGACCTGGGGATCCGGCAGTGGGAGGGCCGTGCAGAAGCCAGCATGGTTTCATCCGTTCTGAAGCAGACATGGAGTTGCACTGGGCTCACCAGGACCTGCAGGCTGGGAGTTTCGGGGTGATTTCTGGCAGAGTCCCCAAAGTCCCCAAAGTCTACTGGCTTACAAGGGCAGCCTGTGGTGGCTATCTGTCCGTAGGTCCCCTCGCTGCTGCCACCTCCTACCTTGTTGACCTCCCAGAGCTGCTAAATAGGAGACATTTTTGCAAACGTAGCTCAAGCGGTCATGGGCTTCCTCTTGTGGGTGTAGAAGTGGAACTGTCCCTGAAACGGGGACTCTAGGAGTTGGACACGCTTTGCTCAGGTTGTTCTGCCGATGGAGCAGAGGGAGCAACTTGAAGAAAGGACTGGCTGAGGGTTATACAGTGGCATGTCCCCGAACCCTGCTGGCTTGATGGCCTCCGCTGGGCGTCAGGACCCTCCCGCCAAGGTGTACAGGGCGCTGGAAGCCTTTGAGACTCTAATGGGCATCCTGTCTATGACCTTCTCCAGGCATTGAGCCGATCCAGGCCACAATTTGGTTGTCCGAACTTTTCTTTAAATCTCCCCAGGTGACTCAAGCCTGCAAGGAAGTTTGACGCCTGTCTTGAATTGAACGTTCTGTGTCTCTTTTGGGAGGGTGGGTAGCCTGACTGAGGACTTCAGAAGTTAACATAAGTGAGCGATACTGTTCTCGTGGGGTTGGGGGAACTTGGAGCCTTGATAGGCCGGCACTTTGTCTGAGGAGGATCACCTGGTACCAGTGTGTGTGTGTGTGTGTGTGTGTGTGTGTGTGTGTGTGGTGGGGTGGGGGAGAAATTCCAGGGAATATTTTGGGGGACAGAAGGCACCAGGAAGAGGTCACTCCAATTCCGTGTGACCCAGAAGCCTCCTTCTGCAGGGCACTCTGCATGCTTCCCTTGTCTTCCAGGCCAGCCTGAGGCAGCTGTGAAGAACAGCAAGCCTGGCTCTGATGCTGTTATTGCTTCCTTTCCCGGCTAAGTAGCCGCCAGCTAGGAAGCTATTGTGTCCTGGTCTGTGACTTTGTCTGGGCAGGGAACCCTGGGGCCATACTGAATGACACCTGGTCAATGCCATTTCCCTCATGCCAGGGATGGCTCTCCCCACTTCTGTGTTGAATCCTCACAGTTCTGTGCATGCTTGCCTGCCTTTGCTCCCCGTGTTCTGGAGGAAGTCGAGACACAGAGATGGTTAGGAAGTTGCCCAAAGCTGCCCAGCAGAATGGATACAGAGAACCTGGCTCTGGTGTACATTGAAGTCTGCCCTGGTTCTCACTGTGTAGCAAAGTTAACAGCCTTTTGATTATTTAAACAGAAAAATTAAATGTGTAGCCATAGGGTCCAGGTGCTGCTCTTCATCATGAGAGGAGGTAGTAGCCATGGCAACCTCTCCTCAGGATTGGGGGCCCAATTGTGGCCTCACCCACCTACCCATCTTCCAGTTACTACCCACTAGGGTCCCCACCTTCTTGAGTTCCATCCTTCCTTACTCTGTGATCAAAACGCAAGCATCCTGTTCCCCTCGGAGGCCTAGCTGTGTAGGCAGGCTGAAAATTGCCAATCAACTGGTTGATCTACTGTGTGGAGAGAAAAGGCTGCCTCTTGGGGAGCCAGTTTCAACTGGAAGAAGCTATAGGAAGGTGGTCAGGTGTCCCCTGGTGTCCTCACATAGAACTGCCATACTGGGGAGCAACAGTCACCTCCACTGTGTGACAGAGCCAGGAGTGAATGGCTACCTTATATGTAGGTTGACTGCTAGGGACAGTCAGGGAACGCTGCTGCAGAAAACCAAAGCAAACCATGGAGTGGATTTTAGGCGGATGGGGCTGAAATGTGTCTCAGTCTAAGAGGATGACACATGCCAATGTCCTGTGGCAGAGGCTAGAGAAGAGGAGGAGGGGGTCTGGGCCAGGCTCTGGTAGGCTAAAAACTAGAGTTTTGTTTTCTTAAATATAGACTTGTGTCTTTCTTTCTTTTTTAACAGTAACATGCGCTCCCAGGACGCCTAGATTAGAAGCCTCTTTCAGAGATGTAACTGGAAAGTGCTTGTGTGGGTTGCAAAGTGGCAGTGTGCTTGCCCGTGTGTGTGTGTGTGTGTGTGTGTGTGTGTGTGTGTGTGTGTATTTTGCCCTCCCACATGGCCCCAAGAGAGCAAGATGTATTGGCTGGAATGGGGGCTGTTTGCCTGCTACCTTCACCCCAAGAATGCTCAGCCATCCAGGCAGGACTGAGCAAAAAACAGCTCTGCCACCCTGGGCTCCCAAGCAGGACTTCTGTGTCAGAGGATAAACATCGGGTGGCCCCCAACCCCCATACTTCCATCACAGAGCCGAGGTGTGTGGGGCAGACATGGCAGGGAGCCAGGTCCTGCTGGCCGAGAACAGGTCTACGTCAGAAACCCCACTCCCGCCACTTCACAAGCAGTTTGGGCACTCCCACCCCCACCGCCAGGTACCCCTCCTCATCTAGTTTATGGCCCATGGGACAAATACAGGTGGCTTTTGGGATCTGGCCTGGGGCAGCTCTCTGGGTATTTGCTTAGACCACAGTCCCCAGTGTGTGTGGAGGCGGGGCTCACAGTTGAATGACAGAGACAAGAAGCAGAGTGGGTTAGACTCCGCCTCCTCAGGGTCTCCTGGTGGATTCGTAAGAAAGCCTGGCTTCAGTAAAGGAAGTGTGCTCCTGATGACACCCTGGACTATGGGGGGGGGGCTGCTTCCTCCCCTAAGGTGGGTACGGAGCTGGGCCCTGGTCTGAGCAAAGAGGCAAGGATGTGGTGGATATGATTCCTTTGGGGGCTTTCTGTTGTGTTTTATAAACAAGAAAAAGAGTATGGTGAAGTGGGAGGGGTCTCTCTGCCGGCCCAGGCTAAGACATCCCTTCCCCCTGAGGTACCAGCCACACGATGGGTATAGTATAGAATAGAATTTATTTAGGGCATGGGGAGGGGGTAAGGGAAGAAGGCAGGCCAGGAACATGTGGAGAGGGAGGGAGGGAGAAGGGGCAGAGAGTCAGAGAGCAAGGAGGGGCCAAACAGCTTCTTTTATAGTAAGCCAGGAATACCTGGGTGTTGCCAGGTAACTTTCTATGAGGGCTGGTGCCCGGATTCAGGAAGGATGGATGGACAGACAGTGGATAGAAGGACAGAAGGATGGAATGGACAGTGGATAGACATAGAAGACAAGACTCAGTAGACTCATAGCCTGGGCAAGCTGTCTATATGGATTCCTGTGGAAGAGAGCCAGTGTGTGGGGTGGGTGGAGGAGTCTATTTGCAGAGGGAGTCGGGGAGGCAAGCAGATATGCCAGGGCCTCCTTCCAGCCAGGCCTGTTTAACCCCAGTGGTGGCTTGGTCTCCACAGCCCAGGTCCCATGGTTAGGGCACCTCCTGGGAAGAGCCTCAACTGGAGCTTCAGTGTGAAGAGGGGACAGGCCACACCCTGACAGGTGTCTAGGGACCCCACAAGCAGCCACCTTCTGGGGAAAGCACCACAGATGGAGTCGGTTGGGATGGCTGCCTCTAAAGTGCCACAAACAGGGGTGGCTTAGAACAGAGGCCATTCTCTCATGGGTCTGAAGGCCATACAATCAGAATCAAGGCCAGAGTAGGGATCCCCTCTGTGACTGGAGAAGATCATTCCTGGTTTGTAGTGGTAACCCAAATCCTTATGTCCAGTAACAAATCTGTGCTTTCTTGTGGCATGGTGTGGCTTTTGGGGGGATCCCTTGGCTGTGGCTTTGGGGTGCCTTGTGGCGTGCTGGGATACAGTAGCAATATCTGCTATCATCTTCATCTGACTCTGATCTTATGTCCCTGTTTTTTTGTTGTTGTTTTTGTTTTTCGAGACAGGGTTTCTGTGTGTAGCCCGGGCTGTCCTGGCACTCACTCTGTAGATCAGGCTGGCCTCGAACTCAGAAATCCAGCTGCCGCTGCCAACCAAGCGCTGCAGTTAAAGGCGTGCGCCACCACTGCCTGGCTTATGTTCCTGTTTCTAAGGATACTAGTCAAACAGTTAGTGGCAACCTCACACCTATAGAGACCCCATGGAACATCTAGCCACAGCAGGGGGTCTGGGACTCAACTATCCTTGTGGGGACAGTCAGTATCACCAATCTTTCTGGCTTGCTGTGGGGACTCATCGCGGTGGCCTCTCCTTCCAATTGCACTGCTCTATGGCTGTTTCTGAGGTCCCGGCTGCCGCCATTAACAGCCCCTGCCTCCTGCAGGGAGGACAGGGATTTGGGCTGTTATGGCCCCTCCTTGCTTCATTTCCTCCTGGGCCAAGGTAGACTTACCCCAAACCTGTCACAAACATATTTGATATGCAGCTAACGACAATCAGGGGTTTAATTCCAGCACTTAGGAGGGTGAGACAGGAGGACAGCTGGGAGCTCCAGGCCAGCCTGGTCTATAGAATGATACTCCATTTACAACAAAGCAGCTGCTGCCAAGGGGTGTCTTTGACCCCGTGCAAAGTCTCCAGGTAGCATTGTGCGTGGGCATGGGGACAGGAGCGGCAGAGGTCCCTCCAGCAGCAGCCAGTGGGGCTGTTCCCCTCCTTCACGGATATAACGATTTCCATGGGCTATGGTGCTGTTTTGGCCCCAATGGCTATACCCGCTTTGTGTCTTGGTTCAGCTAGGCCAGACCACCAGCAGGTGGGGCTGTCTCTGTATGGCACCTCGTTCTCTGCCATGGTGTGTTATCGCTCCCTGTGGCTTTGGGTTTTCCCAGGGTGCCAGGCCCCATGTCACCCCATCTCCAGCCAGCCAGTGGTGTTTACCATCACTGGGCTGGGCAGTCAGTGGCTCGTTATGTTCAGAACTTCAGCCCTTTGCCCTGTTGCTCTGGTCCCCACCTCACCGCTATCTGACCAGGAGTTAGTCAGTTGCCCTGGTCTGCCCATGGCTCTCTGCATTCAGGAAAGGGCTGGGATCAGGGCCAGCTAGGGGGTCCATTAAGATTGGTAGTTGCCCTCAGACCTTTCTTTCCCTCTATCCTGATGTCCCAGAGCTGTAAGGGGACAATGAAATCCCTGGTAACTGGCCATCCCTCAGCCCCAGTGTAGGTCCCATTGCAGTCGGCACACTTCAGGTCACAGATGCACATTGACGCCCTGCCAGCTTGCAGGTCTCTCACCTTATATGTATTTGTGTACCATATACATGTGCAGTACCCACAGAGACCAGCAGGGGGCATCAGTCCCCCTCGAACTTGAGTTAGGTGTTTGTGAGCCACCACGTTTATGCTGGGAACTGAACCTGAGGCCTCTGCAAAAGCAGTAAGTGTTCTTTAACCATTGAACCGTCCTGCAGCCCTTTGGAGAATCTCTCTAGATTAAAACGGGGCTCCTGAACCCCGGGTGGCCGCCCGGCGCTAGAGAGGCCCAGTGAGGCAGATGCTGTGAAGACTACAGTGTAGACAGCCTGGAGCTATGTGCCCACCCTGCATGTCACCTTGGTAATAGTGCCTACCCCCATAGAACTGTACCCTAACCTCTGGGTGAGTGCAATGTTTCTTACTCATGCACATTGAGCTTTTCCTGTGGGATCTGCGGGACAGCAGGCTCTACAGGCTGGAGGGCGAGACGTTCTCAAAATAACCCTGAGCCAGAGTTTTGATTGCAGAAATCTACAGGGAGTAGCTAGGGCTGCCACCCATTTCCCTTGGTATCTAGCCCTGGAATCCTACAGGACACGTCCAGCCGCCCTGCCTTAACCCAGTGGACACCTGGGCTCTGTCCTATCTCTCGGTGCTTGCAGCCTCCCAGTGGGCGGCTGAAGTGTTTTTCCAGTGTCGCCCTTGGGAGAGCTGGCTCCCTCCACTTGAATTGGGCTTTGTCTAACTGACTGGCAGAGTCCTGCACAACATCCGGCTGGAACAGGGCTGCTGCAGGTTGGTCAAGGCCCAAGAAGCAGCCTCAGGAGTGTTGGGTTCTCTTTTTTTACCTCTCGGTCTGTCTTAAGGTTCTCATGTAGCCCTTGATGGCCTTGAATTTTCTACGCATCTGAAGATGCCCTTGAATTCTGATCCTCCTGATTGTACCTTCTGCCTGCTGGGACTGCAACCCTTCCCCCACCCCCCATCCCCATCCCGTTTATGGGGTTCTGGAAGTAGAGGCCTTACGCATGGTAGGCAAGCATTCTAATGCCCTGGCTAAGACATTAAGCCCATCAGCCATTTTATTTCATTCCAAGATGAACCAAAGAGAGGCAGCGGGCTAGGGACATGCCTCCAAATGCCTACATCTAAAGCCTGAGTCCGAGTTCACACCCTTCCTCTTCCAAGGCCACAGGGGACCTAGTGCTGTGCTCAGGGGACAGGAGCTAACCAGCAGACTTACCTCCTGCATTTGCGGAAAACACCAAGCCACAAACCTCTAGTATTATTTCCATACGCACCTCCTCTGGGAGCTTGGTGGCATGGATCAGTGCTGATGTCTCTTGATCCTGAGGCTGTATGGGGTCCCATGGGGGACAGGTGACTCAGGCACTATATCCATTAATCCCACCTAGGGTGCTGGTTTGTGAAGACAGTCATGCCCCGCCCCCATGGGGTCATGCACAGGCTTATGGGTACCTCTGTCTGCCCCCGCCCCGTTCTCAATTACTGTGAGTAGTATACAAATAGAGAAACCCCTCCCCTCTGCCATTTCTTCTCCTAGGCCACTTCCCTCTTCCAAAATCCCCCAGCCCTGGAGATGAGGTCGAGGCTGCTGCCTGTGTTCTTTGGGGAGAGCATCGAGGTGGACCCAGAACCTGCACATGAAATCCGGTAAGTAGGCCAAGAGCGAGGTGGGTGGGTCCTAGCCCGGGGAGCATCTTGAGGACCCGGGTGCAGGGTGTGGGACAGGGCCCACCTAGCTGGAGGGAGGCGTGGTCAAGTCTGGCTGTGCGCAGACAGCCGGCTTGGACCTCCATAACTCTTACCCCCTGGTGCTGCGTCCTCTGCTTGGTCTCAAGCCAGAAACCATGGAAGTGGCATTTTTGTCACGATTGGTCCCTCTGAAGGGGGAACCACCCACCAGGAGGGACTGTGGGGACTTTTATAGGTTTTCTTATGGCAAAGTTGGGGGCATCTGCTCTGCTCTCCCACATGGCCTTTGACATTGTTGGCCCCTGAATACTGAACTATGCTCCAACACCACATATATGTGACATATGGTCACAATCCGCTGCCACAAAGCCAGCACCCAAATAGAACCTATCATCCCAGTCGTATCCTTTCTTGTCTTTTCTCCCCAATTTAGGGTCCGGTTGTCCGTGCTGCTTATCATTCTTTAGTCTCCCATCTGGGATTTTGACCTTTCACCTTTGACCCTTCACGTCAAGGTCAAGAAGAGGGTTCTGGGTAAAGGTTAGCAACCGACGGTGGTGGGCAACTCACTCCCTTCATTTCTGTCCTCCCCAGCTGCAACTCTGAGGTCACCTATGCCTCAGAGAGATACTTCCGCGACAAGATCTTCTACGCTCCGGTGCCCACGGTCACAGCCTACAGCGAGACCATAGTGGCGGCGCCCAACTGCACGTGGCGGAGCTACCGCAGCCAGCTGACCCTGGAGCCCCGCCCACGGGCCCTGCGCTTCGGAAGCACCGCCATCATCTTCCCCAAACTGGCCCGCAGCTCCTTCCGCACCACGCTGCACTGTAGCCTCGGCCAGCCACGGCACTGGTACTCCTCCAGCCTGCAGCTGCAGCGGTGTGGGGACCCTGCACCCAGTTCCAGTGGCCCTGATGTACTCTGAAGAGCCCAGTGTCAGAGGAGGAGCTGAGTGTGGGAGAGGTCCAGGAAAGATGGCCAGGCTACCACCACAGGCTAGGCTGGCCGTGCCTGAGCTCTTGCCTAGAGGATCCCGTGAATGCATCTTTCATTAGCCTTATACAGGCTCTGTGGGCTCATGGGCAGGGCCAAGCATGTCCTGGTGTGCCCTTGAGGCAAAGACGGCCCTATGTACCACAGGACACAGGGCACTCAGCCACGGTCTGGCTCGAAACCTCATTCTTGGAGAGGCTCGTTTCCAAAATAGGTCATTAAAAAAAAAAAAAAACCGCTCATCCCAGCTGAGAACCGCAGGTGCAGAGGGCAGAGCTAGCTTACCCTGAACTGAGATGGGAGAAGCTGGGGGTACCCTGAACACATAGTCTGCTGTGCAGGGCGGCCCACGTGCCCCCACGAGACGCATCTCTTGAGCCTCAAAGCTCTCTGGCAGGTGCTCAGGGAGGCTTCAAAGCAAATGACGGGACATGTCCAATAACTGCCCATGGCTGACTCTGGACTTGAGCCTACCGCAGGGCTCAGAACCGCAAGAGAAACCGTGTTGGATTTTCTTGGCCTCCCGTCCTTACTTAGCATGGATTCTACAACTACGCCAGTTTCGGCTCTTGCTCACAACCTGGTGCTGTCCCCTGGTGCCCAGGCTAAAACAAGTCTCCGAGTTCACTTAGAGGTGAAGATGTCCCTTTACCTCAACTGTCCAGTAGCTGGAAACCTGCCTCCTGCCTCCATGGTGGCCCAGAGGGAAGGGACGCTCTTTGTGGAGCAACTAGAACTCAAATGATTGATAGATTTCTGTCGATCTATTAGCTTAGCCGAGGTGCCCCCCTGATTAAAGAACAGCTTAAGAAATTAGTGAATTATCTTAATAAAATGTACCTGCACAGCCGGGATGCTTTGTTTCTGAGATGCCCCTGGGGTGGGGGAGGGAACCTGGATATGCCTGTACCCACTTTTCTTCTCACCTGGCATTAGGATCAGAGGGAGCCTGGCTTCCCTGCTCCTGGGGGGACAGGGAGGAACTAGAGATTGATTCTCCATGTATGACAGCCTCTGCCTCTTACCCCAAGAGCCTCCCGTGTACTAGGCAAGGGCTCTATCACCAATCTACAGTCATAAGCCACAAGTGATTTCCCACACTGAGGGCTCCTACCTGTTTTAAGAATATAGGGTCCCTAAGATGGCAACTACAATGGACGGAGCTTGGGAAAGCCCCACAAGGACGGATTGGATGGACCAACCACAGGGGCTTGTAAAGCACCACACCCAAAGTATAACCCTCAGACGGTCACCTGTCCTGTGGTCATCCAGGGGACCTAGAGATTGGGAGAATGAGGTGCCAGCTCTGAGCAGATCCAGTCCCAGCCCTTGGGGGCTTGCCACCCTAAGGTGATGTTCCCAGCTGCCCTGTTCTAGGATGCTTTGTGTTAAATGACTGGCCCTCCAGTACCAGGCAGGGAAGACCCTAGGGTATCCCCAGAGTGGCACCTGCCCCAGGGTAGTAAGGCTGACAGTAATCACAAGTGCCCTTTTTTGTTATTTTTGAGACAGGGTTTCTCTGTGTAGCCCTGGCTGTCCTGAAATTCACTCTGTAGACCAGGTTGTCCTTGAATTCAGAGATCCATCTACCTCTGCCTCCCAAGTGCTAGGATTAAAGGCACACGCCACCGTGCCCAGCTTGTGGATAATGCTTCTTTATGCTGCAAAATGTGTGGAAAAAAAAAATCTGTAGTACTCGTGCCTGTAGTAAACGTGATGAATCCTTCTCACCAGCCAGACTTGTGCCCTGGCCCTCTGGACACCTCGCCGTCTCCCTGGGCAACAGAGAACCTCAAGTCTCCAGCCTATTCACTCACCCTGTCGTCAGTCACAGCATCTCCAAAAGGAGTGGGGCGAGGGGGGAGGGGGGAGTGCCCAGGAAGGGTGTGGGCTAGGGACTCGAGATCCCACAGCTCCCTAAAGAGTCTGTCCTGACTGAGGTTCTTTTGTTGGCCCTGTTAACTTCACTTGGCATGGTCTCGGATCCCTGGACTAGCTGCCAAGGATGAAGGATGTGTATCCTTCTACACGGGCCATGCATGGCTTTCTTCCCTCAAGCTCCTAGCAACCTGTACACCTTGTAACTTAGCTTGTCCAAAGCCAGGAAAGCGTGGAGGTGTCTGCCATTACCACAGCCGGTCTATAGACGGGCAGGCTGGTGGAGACACCCCCAAACTCTACTGGCCGCTTAAGGGCCTCTTAGCACACGTAACCCTTGCCCTTGAGCCTCACGAACCCACCTTGTAGCGTGTTCTACACTAAGCTTGGACCTCTCTCTCCACCCTCTTCTTCCTCTTTGTAAGCCCAAACCGCTTCAATTTTAGAAAGGCAGACGTGATTTTCGCCACAAATTCCTCTTCCCCACCCTGGCTTTTAAGAGCCTCTGGCTAGCCCCTGACTCACTTTTCTCGCACAGCCTGTGTCCCCCACAGCCTGTCTTTTGAAGGCTGCCACTTCTAGGAAGTCCCCCTTGACTGCCCTGGTCTGTGTTGTTTCTGAGTGAAAGCCAGGGGACTAGTGCCTATCTGACCAGTGGGCAGAGCTCTCCTTTGGGGGAAGGGGTCAGGCTATATCTGGCTTGATACAGGTTTAGCTCTCTCTGTATTAAGAGACCCAGAGAGAGCATGGGTGTTCTCAGAGAAGGGTGGACCCCAGCTGGACTTTGCGGTATGCCCAGGTGTCTTCCTGGGAGATGTGGGTGAGAGAAGTCATGTGTGCCATCATTTTAAAGGTGGGGCAAGGGCAGGCTGGTTACAGCTAGTGGACAGAAGAAACATTCCAAAGGCACAAAGGCAGAGTCACAAGCACTGCCTCCACTTCTCTTCATGGTCTGCACCTCAGAAACAGACAAGGGAGACATGCTTTCATGTCTGACAGGCAGAGATGGGGCTGGAGGAGACAATGGGGTAGCTGATACCAGCTGTTGTCTGGTGGCAGCCAAGGGACACCACACCATGAAATGGTGTGGCAAAGCAACCTGTCTGTCCAGGTGGAGCTGCCTGTGTCCAGGATGAGGTCCATACCACCACCTGGCTGCTGGCTTTTGTATTGCAGTCTGGACACAAGCTGAGCCCTGCCAGGCCAGCCTGGTACAAGGCCTGCCTGGTGTTTTCCAGGTTTCTGCGCATGTCCGCTCCTGACAGTTACAGGACAAACTCAGGGCAACTTGGGAGTCCTGGGGGATGCAAATGCCTCTCCACACTCTAGCTCAGATATTCCAGCCAGCTGGGGAGGTGCTACTGGGGACAGCGACACACCGGACCATGTCCTTTCCACTCCCCTGAGCCTTCCTAGTGAGACCTCTGCCCATGGCTGCTTCGGATCCCCACGATGCTCTTGGTTATGAAAGCCCTTTCCTTATCAGACCCAATAGGCCCCACTTACCTGCTGCAGATCCAAGGTGGGTTTCATTCTGGAGACTTGAGACCTTTTGTCAAAGCATCCCTAGCTGCCCAGGCTTGGAGCTGAGGATCAGAGCAAGGCGGGCACCTTGGCAGAAAGAGTACAACTCTGCCAGATGAAGACTGTGGTACAGGCCTGCTTGGTTTCTCCCTACACCCCTCTCTTAGAATGGCTGGCCTTTGTGGGCACTACAGCAGCAGCAGACAAAGTGAGTTCAGCCCAAGCCTTTGCAGACCAACAGTCAAACCAGGTCTGGAGCCAGGTGACAGGTCGGGGACAGCAGGCTGGGGCGTCACAACATGTGCAGAGGGTATGTACGGATGGAGAGGCCCCAGGCTGAGGCAGATCAACTGTCTCAGCGTGAAGACTGGAAGCCCTCTCAGCTCTGCTACAAGAGGCAAAGTTATGGTTGGTTTCAGTATTACCCTGTCACCAATGGGGTGAAGTAGGGAGCCTCCCCTGAAGAACTGTTCCCACGGCTTTGATATGGGCGGCACCTTCAGGCAGCAGCCAGATAAAAAGGGTTTACCAGGAGGGAGATCACTTCGCCTTCGCTCAGAGCGGCTGTACCTCATTGAAGCCACTGCCAACCCCGTGACTGACAGTACAACTAAGCATCCCTGGTTGACTGGGGACCAGTGGCTCTCTAGAAACCTTCTGGGCTCCCAGGTACCAGACTGGGACAACTGAGGCACTTTGCCTTGTGGACTCAGTGACTAAGGGTCATCGCCGTGCAGTGAGAGGCAAGCAGTTCTGGAACAACTCTGGGGCATTCAGGTCCAAGGGCCATGTAACCTGCTGAGTTCTCACCATCGTGGGCGGGGCTTGACTTTTGTGACTATTTTAAAGCTCACTCAAGGGGATGATAGAGAGACGGGTTGAGTAAGGTTTTAAGAGCACCAGATGACTTTCCAGACGACCCAGGGTTCAGTTCCCAGCCCCTACGGGGGGGGGGTGGGGGGGTGGGGGTGGTGGTGGCTCACACAACCTGTCTCCAGTCTCATCTTTGCAGATACCAGACACACATGTAGTGAAGATATACATACAGACCAAATATTAATACATGAATTATAAATAAAAATAAAACAAGTATTTTTTTAAAAGCGTATCCTTAATAAATTCTGCTACACACACACACGCACACACACACACACACACACACACACACACACACACACAAAATTAATTCCTCTGAGTAGTGGTTCTCAACCTTTGGGTTGCTACCCCTAAGAGGCTCAAACAATCCTTTCCCAGGGGTCAGGCGTATCAGCTATCCTGCATAGCAGAGATTTACAATTCCTAACAGTCGCAAAATCACAGTTATGAAGTAGCAACGAAAATAATCTTATGGTTGGGGTGGCACCACAACACGAGGAACTGTATTAAAGGGTCACGGAATCGGAAGGGTTGAGAACCACTGCTCTAGAGAACCCTGACTCAAGCAGGCACCAAGGTGGCAGAATGGCTCTGTTTGAGTTTCTTAAGATCAAACCCAAAGAGGTAGCTGTGATCACTTTGGTCAGGCCCAAGAATACTGAGCGCCGCCGACACAACGGGGTAGGGTACAAACAGTGCACAGTAAGAAGCAAAAGTCACCCAAGACTCACGGTATGTACAACTGCTCAGATTTACACTCACAAGCAAGAACAGCAAAGGCTAAACCACAGGGAAGGATCCCGATGCCTACTACGAGACAGTAATCTTCAGCATGTAAATCACTGTGGAAGGGAAGGCTTTGCCCCCTTCACCATAAGCGTCAGTGACTACGCTCCGGTTACAGGTGTGAATCCCCAGAACCTTCTCCAAGGGTATGAGTACCCCCATAGTCACCATATACAGGCTTCCCCGAAAGTGTGAACAACCCCCCCCACCACTGTACGATGATGATGACCAAGGGTGTGAATAACCAACAGGTTCCCCACCGGTGTGAACATCCAGGCGATACAAGTACCTGGTGGCTTCCTCATATCCGTGAGTCACGCCCTCTGGTTGCACTGTACTCGGGGGTCAATGTTCACAGCCGAGTGCTGACTTGAAGGAACATTCCCCTTGACTCTTGCGGTTACTGGTTGCCTGCTGCCCAGTGAGAAGCAGAGCAGAAACCTTTGTAACTTGAGTATAATTTGCTTTTTAATTGGAACAACATGTGTAAATGACAGAATGCCGCCGTGCACAGAGAGCGGCCACAGAATACGCATCAAGTCCATTCTGCCCAAGGAAGGGAGGGGGGGAGGGCACAGTGCCGTGTGCCGGAGCCCCTGCCCCCCGAGTCCTGCGTATGGTGGGGCCACCGCCTCGGCCGGCACATGCCTCTGGAACAGTAAGCAGAAACCAAAGCACAGCGGCAGTAACACGGTGAGTCCTTCCTTGTGTGAAACGTCTGAATTAACTCATTGAAGGTATCAAAAATATACCCTGTAAGCCAACACCATTTACACCTGCCTTCCCTCCTGTCGCCACATGACAGGCTGGGAACGGTCCAGTTCCTGCAAACATCCGTGCCCCAGGCCCATGCCTGGCCCCTTGTGCACCCACCTGGTCTGATGGGCTCCCAGTCTTGTGGGCTGGGTGGCCTTTGGGGACTGTGATGACAGCGCTGGGGCAGGATAAGCTGGGGACGTCTGTCCAGAGCACTAGCGGGCTGGGGGCAGAGGGAGGGGCAGGGCCGCGAGCTCAGCTTAGACTTTGGTTCCAAATGCGGTAAGGGGTGAGGCAGTGGCATGGAGGTGCCTGGTCATCCTGTGTTGAGTCCCCGCTGCCCCAGATGCACGCGTACAACTGACACACGATCGGGGTCCCCCCCCCCCCCCCCGTCCTGGCCCACTGTCCTCCCCTCCTGTCCACTCCCCTCTCAAGCACCAGGTAAACATCCCCTGAGTGTAAGGTCACTGCGCAGGGCCAGCCCGGGGCGGGAGTCTTAGTTAAGGCTTTAGACAGGCAGGATGCCAGCTCTGGATGGACAGATGAGTGGATGGACGGACGGATGGACGCGCAGGCAGACTCAGGGGCTCCTTCCTCAGTCAGGGGAGTCGGCAGCTGTCTGCTCCATGCTGGGCTGCTTCTGCCTCATGTAGGGGCCTGGCACCGCTCCCCCCCCAATCTGTGGTCACTCGCTGTCCGAGAGCGTCTCGTACTGTGAACACAGCAGTGGCTTGGGCTCTTCATCCCAGGCGTGGTGGGGACCAGCTAGAGGCCCGCTGCCTGCGGCGAGGCCAGGTGGGGGCGGCGAGGCCATGACACCTGCCTGTAGCCTCATAATCAAAGGGTTGTAGGGGAATGGCGTGGACCCTGTGAGAAAGAAGGGAGAGCACTAGAGACGGCTCTGCAAACCGTGTAGCTACCTCAGGACCCATCTACCACAAGAAACCAGAGCCTGGGCCTCGTAGGCCAGGACAATTCATTCACCTTTACCTCTGGAGTTCTGACTGGACTGTGGTAACCTTTCTATTTCTCCCATTGTTCTGTCTCTACTGCTTTCTGCTTTCCTGTCAAAACCCTACAGTGCTTGACAGGCAGGAAAGGACGCCAGGCTCCCCAGTATGACCAACCATGCCTTGAAGGCCTGGCCAGCTGTACAGGGCCCTCTGATAGGCTGCTACATGGGGACCAGGGACCACCTCCCCTGGGTAGCCTGGGCAACCCTCTGTCTACATCTCTGGCCCTAGCTGACACTCACCTGCAGATGAGGGCCGGTCTTCCCACACACGGTTGGTGAGTGGTGTTCTGCGATTGCAGTCCCCCTCCGAGTGTACTGAGGAGACAGAAGGCGGTCGGTCTCCGGACGCCAGGCCTGGCGCTGGTGACTTGGCTTTTCGGCTGCTGGGTCTGCCAGAAACCTTGGCTTTCCCACCACCACCTACAGGGGACAAAGTGGGAAGGGGCCAAGTCAGACAGTGTTGACAGTGGGCCACCCACACCAGCACTGAGGAGGGGCAGTGGGGCTGATTCTGCCGTGGGGAGCCACCTGCCTCCTAGGTCCCCAGGATAAGACACTTAGTGCAAGAAACCCTGAGCCAGGAGGCTTAAGAGGTCTACCAGATGGCCAGAGCCAGCCCTTGGCGTGCAGAAAGAGGAACAAACATTTACTATGAGAGAGGTTGAATGACTATTCCCTTAGGTGGCCCCACTAGGACTGTACCCTTCACTGAGGAATGTCAGATCTTGGCTGGATGACAGATATTGCCCAAGACAGCACTCAACTGTGCTGGACTGAAGGCCTCTGCTGAGAGGGCCAGACCCCGAGGCTGGCCTGACCCTAGAAGGGGACACCAGAACACTTCTTTGCTTGTGTCTCTGCTAGGGAAGTGCTGATGAGCACTAAGAGTGGGGATCTGTGCTGCCTGCCCTTCAAGGGTAACGCCCACATTAGACTCTTCCCAGCAGCCCGACCACACAGGGTGGGCCTGGCCACTGTCATCCCTGTCCACACAGCAGGGGAGGAAGGGGCAGGAGTGGGAAGTGGTGTGAGCACAGGAAAAGCGGTGGGGGGGGCGCCCTCTGCAACACGGGGGTGTCAGACCAGCTTTGGATTAGCAAACTAGATGTCAAACACGCACAAAAAATAAGGTCACAGGCTCCCAAGCTTGAAGGGGGTAAGGTGAGAGGATTAACGACACCAGGGTAAGGAGGGACACAGCCGGGTGGGCGGGCGGGCAGGCCTGCAGACCTGGCGAGGTGAGTGCGTGGTCACTCCGTCCGTCAGCAGTGGTTATGGGCATAGCGGCAGCGGGCAGACTGGCACTGGCATTCAGAGGGTTAAAAGCATTGGCGCCGAGCGGCGGGGGCTCTTCCCATTGGTCATATTTACCCATGAGTGCCTTTCTAATAATGGCCTCTAGCCCCATGTTGGTGCTGGCGTGTTCTTGCACCGCCTGGCTTCTACAGGTCATAAGGCCTGGGAGAGAGACAGACAGACACACAGGGGGGCGGGGGCCGGGGAGCCGGAGGGTTGCGAGAGATAGAATGAGGAGGGAGGAGAGAGAGAGAGAGAGAGAGAGAGAGAGAGAGAGACACAGTGAGCACACATCTGGTGAGCATCGTCCGTCCCTCCAGCCCTCCTTTCTGTAGGGTGCTGATGGGGCTCCCGACTGACTGTCCCTGCAGCTCACGGCTGCGTCAGGGAAGGGGTCTGGGGGCAGATAGAGGGTCCCCAGCCCTATTCCTACTCTACACCCCAATCCTAGCTGAGGCTATTTCTTTCATTTTGACTACAAGAGGAAGTCCAGCCCAGGGTCTCCTGGTGGGTAGATTCTAGGAAGGCATGTGGGGAAGAAAGGTGTCCAGGGAGAGAGGAACCCCTGCTGCCCCCTTTCCTCAGGGGGTTAGGGACCTCAGCCTGTCTTATGCCTCTGAGCTAGGCTTGCCTTCCCGTCCCATCTCTCCCCACAGGAGCCAGAGAAAGGTAGAGAGCTGGGCACAAGGGATGGGGGGGGGTCACAGCCATGCAGTTATGTGCGTGCGAGGACAGGGCAGCACTGGACAGGTGAAGGGCCACTCCAGCCCTGGCTGGCCCAACCCCATGACAAGGACAGAGTGCTCAAATCAACAAACTGGCCTCAAGAGATGTTTGCAGCCTTTCTCTGTCTCTCTGCCTCTCTGTCTCTCTCTCTGTCTCTCTCTGTCTCTCTTTCTCTCTCTCTCGTATGAATTGTGCTCTAGGACTTTTTGCAAATGCCAGGGGGAGCAGAGATCTCTTTTCAGTGTTTCAGGATGCTTCCAGAACCTTCTGAGGGCTGGAGCCTGAGCAGCAGGCCTGGAACCCCAGCTATTTCTGAGGCTAGGACAGGAGCACAGCATCCTGGAGGCTAGCTTAGTCTACAGAGCTGAGTTCAGTCCAATCCAGGCTAGCCTGGGCAGCTGAGGAGACCTTCGCTCAGAGGAAGAGGGCTGGCTTGTACAGGACACTTGTTTGGTGAATGCAAGGGCCTCACTTCAATCCTGAGGACCAACCAAAGTGCTCCAAACCCAGACAGAAAAAAGAACAAAACACTGCCAAGCTAAATCAAATCAACCACCCCCTAAAACCAAACAAATGAAACAAAATGAAACACAAAACAAAACAATAAAAAACCCCAAATCACCACTGCCACCACAAACACAACATCCATGTCATCAGCAGGAGCCCCAGCCTACGCCACTGGTCAGTCTCTGGTGCCCTGTGAACCTCCAGACTGACTTAGCCTTGTGAAAACCACATGGGTAGATGTGCTAGCAAGACTAGGGCTTGTAAGCTAGCCAGGCTTCTGAGGATGGAAGGGACAGTCACTGTCATAGTCTTGTTCTGGGGTGATTGCTGGCAGCCTCAGCTTGGGTTTCAGGCAAGCTCAGGACAGGGCCGGTCAAGTTTCCTCAGTGCTAAGCAAACGTTACCAAGAAAAAGCTGAACTTCCAATGAGGTGAATGCGCGCCCACACACACACATGCGGGCACACACACACACACACACACACACACAATCCAACCTCAAATAAACAAGCCACACCCACCACACTCCTCCACATCCAGAATAAAGTGGGAGACAGAAGTAACATGGAAAAGGGGGAGAGAGGGGCGTTTCCTGATTGGCGCACCACTCCTGGGCCTTGTCTCTAGGGTGTTGAGCTTGTGACCCAATGGCACCAGGCACAGCCATCACTTTCCTCATTTACCTCTGGTATTGAATGTCACTGGCCAGACCTGAAAACATGTCTTTGAGAACTAACATTTAAGGGGGATGTTTGAGAATGCACACATGTATGCGTGTGTATACGCCAGACAACTAAGTTAGGTTTTAGCACAAATCACTGCATTAACCCTTGAATTTCTACAAGCACATACACCCAGGTGTCTAGAACCTACACCAAGATTCAGAACATTCTAGAAACATTCATTTTCCACCATGTTACTGTCTTGATCAAAGTTTCCTTCTGTCTGAGGCTCAGCAAAGTCCCCAGAATGTTTCTGGGTTTGTGATATTTCCTGCTAGGATCCCTCCCCGACTCCCTCTGCAGGTCCCGTGGTCCTCTGGAAATGTCCCCAAGGGTGTATCTGGCCACCTTATTCCCTGAGCCCAAGGCTCCACACTCATAAGGAAGGCAGGCAACACTGGCCTCTTCCTCTGGCTTGGAGTGCATGTACCCACAGCTGCCTCTGTGTCACAGTCCCAATTCAGGTGTCACTGAGCCCGTTTGTTCCCACGACAGTTTCTTTCCCAGGGGTCAACATGATTGTAACCATGGGAAATGTTCTAAGTCCCGAGCACCATACCAAAAGCCTGACACTTCTGCCACAAACTGCACAAGAGTGTGACACGTTTTTCAAATTACCCATCTGCATGGGATTTAGAAAGAGGCCGGAGCCCTCTGCTGGAACCTCAGTTGGAGACTTTAGTGTGACAGTCGTCTGTGGCACCCTGAAGCTCTGTACCCCAAGGCCAATCCCTCAGGTCCACACTTGGTGATGTGCCCCAGCCCCAGCAACTGGGCAAGTATTTCCAGGTTGTTACCTAAAACCCACTTGAGGGACCCTGACCTCAAACCTTAGACTCTCCTCATGTAGGGAGGATTCTAGGCAGTAGAGCTGACCTTCTGTGTCATTCTGGGTCCACTGAGGCCAGGGAGAGGGCTCAAACTTAAACTGGCTAAGGTTCCTTTTCTGCAAGTCAGCAGCTGGGGAAGGGAGTTTGCTATGTGGATGCATAGGAGGGTTACCTGCTCCAGTGATGGCGGGCATGTTGAAGATTTCCGTCCCAGGCTGGCCAATATCTAGAGCAGGGTAACAAGGTAGGAAAGGGCTGAGCTCACAGGTCCTAGGAGCTCTGCACCCCTGCTTGTCCCCTGTACAGTCTGAGCTGAATGTCTAGGCACAACTAGGTACCTGATGCTCCAGGTTTACTCTGGTGGTTGGTTACGACCCTAGGCATGTGTTAACCTGTAAGGGCTTCTATAGTTTAACTCCAGAAAGGAAGAACCTTGTCCGTCTGTCCAAGCCGCACTAGGGAGACGGTTACTGGTGGGATGGGACAGTGCAAAGTCCGCACGTGTTGCATTCTCATAAGCACATGGTCCATGTGACCCTGCACTAAGGATGACAATTCTTGTCCGCCCACATCAGCCGTAGTGAAAGGCACCACGTCTGCAGAACCTGGAGTAGTGTGCTGTGCTCCTCAGCACCCAGCACAGGGCTGTCGCTACAGGTTTCACTGAACACCTACTGTGTGCAGGGCATCACTGAAGTGCTATATGCTGTGTCAGTTACTATCACTGGCAGAAAGATGGGCTCCTCCGTGGTGAAGTTTACGAGTGCTAGTTCCCTCCCGGTGCCTACGCTAGCCTCGGCTTCCCCTTACTGTATTCTGGCTCGTTCCGGTTGTGGGTGTTGAGTTTCTTGTTGATCTCCTGCTTCTTCGACTTCACCATAGCGGAGTTGCTCTCAGTCAGTTTACTGAAGAAGGCTGGCGGTTGGCTGGTGTTGCCTGGAGACTTGGAACCCATCCTGCGGGAGCATGAGATACCAGCGTCAGCAGGCTGGGCACTGCTTGCAAGCCTTTAGCCACAGGGAACTCACCACTCGAGCCACAGAGAGGTGCTAAGGACTGTTTCCCATCCCAGGACTGCTGGGATCTGTACTTAGCCTTGTCTTAGGGTAGTTTGTGAGCCTCCTAGGTATACTGTGAATTACCCGAGAGCTTCTTTTTTTTTTTTTTTGTTTTGTTTTTTTTTTTGTTTTTCGAGACAGGGTTTCTCTGTATAGCCCGGGCTGTCCTGGAACTCACTCTGTAGACCAGGCTGGCCTCGAACTCAGAAATCCGCCTGCCTCTGCCTCCCGAGTGCTGGGATTAAAGGCGTGCGCCACCACCGCCCGGCCTACCCGAGAGCTTCTTATAGCTAGATTTGACACAAGAATCCCCCTGAACTGGGCAGTCACAGGTCATACCCTCCCTGAGGTCCATGTCCACCCCTACCCAGTTTGGTACCCAGCTTAGTTAATTCTCAGATCTGCAGCACGTGATAAACTAGGACATGGCTCAGGCTTAGAGCCCAGAATCAGGGATCCCAGGCACAGAGACGCCAGGCACAGGGATCTCAGATGCAGAGATGGTAGGAAGCCCCCTGAAAGTCTATCACCCTGCTGAGCTGTGAAATGATTAATGGCCTGTATGCTAGAGGGCTGTGGCCACGGGCGTACATGGAGCTGACACCACCAACTCTAAGAGGGGAATTGTGCCACTGGGTACCTGGGCTCCCCTTGTTCCCCGTCCCGATACAGCAGTGGGTACGCAGCGCTCCGAGCATGTCCTGGCTCAGTCATGCCCTCTGGTGGGGACACAGGTTCAATGGCATCCTCGCTGCTGCCCAGGACTGATGTTTTGCTGGGTTCTGGGGACCTAATGGAGATAGCATCCCAGTTGAGGTTGGGGTCCTATTCCACAAAGAGGATACCCCACTGCGCACAGCAGGGCTCTGCATGTCTCCCCGAGGTACAGAGACCCCCCAGTGGGCTACAGAGATTCTTTTGAAATAACCTAATACTCAGGAGCTTTTGTTTATTTTTGAGTTGGGTTCTTGCAGTAGCCTAGGCTGCCCTAAAGCTTACCATCCTCTTGTCTCAGCCTGGCCAGAGTTCCCGCACCTGAGTAGAGGGTGTGCCACCACGCTGGGCTGCTCAGGGTGTTGAGCCACATTGTGAGCCCTGATGAGAAGCCCATGCCAGAACCTCACTGTTCTCCAGAGATCCCGCTGTCTACATCTGTGCTTCTAAAATCAAGTTGTCTCATGCCCTGAGCCCCAGCCATGTGCATGGGATGGGATGGTAACTTACTTCTCTGTGCCTCAGTTTCCCTATCTGCTAAATGGGAGGGAGACATCTGACCCCTAGCTGAGTCGGTATAGAGAGGATACTCAGTTGGCACATGGGACCCTTGGGTGTGCCACCTGCCTGATTAGCTGCTTTGTGTTGGTTCTGGAGCGTAGCGAGCCTCTGTATCCCTGAGCCTCCGTTTCCCATTAACCCTACATTGTTAAGCTCACCCTGTCCCCAGTGTCCTCCGGCCACCATCTGACACAGACATGAGTATATCCTCACCTTTTGCCCCCTTCGCTGTGGGGGGATCCCCGGGCTGGGGTGCCATGGTCCGGGGGTGGGAGGTAGAGGTCACTGGGTGGGCGGCGGAGATCCAGGACAGGGCAGCTAGCTCCAGGGAAGGAGTAGAGAGGGGCGGGGAGGGGGCCGCTGAGCTGCTGCGGGTGGTGGCGCGTGTAGTCCTGTGTGATGACCTCCTGTGGGAAGGGTGCCGTTCAGGACTTTCAGAGTAGGGTAGGACAGAACCCTGATCTGGCTCTTGGTCTCCTGGGTGAGTGTCCCAGGGTAGACCTTATGGTGATGGCCCCCAAAGGACTGAGTGTGGTAGCCAGAGCATGTTAGCATCTGTCTGACTATGGGATGTGGCTCTCATAGCCACATGCTCTCCCAATGGCAAGGGCCAGAGACGGGCACTTACACTGATGTGCTGAGCCAAGGTGACTACCCTCTGGTGACCTTTGATGCCTGGGGCAGTCTGGAGGAGTGGGCTGGACGAGGGCTGGCTCTCGGGCAGTGGCCGCAAATGTGGGAGGTGAGCAGCCTCCGCACTGAGCTTCATGGGGCCTGAGGACACAAGCAGAGCGTGTCAGGGCCTGGGGACAGCGTAGAGCTGTGCCTCAGTTTCCCCACCTGCTACTCTCCCGGGTGTCACCTGGCGGCTTGTGCCGCAGCTCCCCCTCCAAGTGGCTCTTCTCCATCTCTTCCAGAGGTTTGGAGAGCCCCTTGTCGTGGGTCAGGCTGGGGGAGCTCACGGGGCTGATGGGCTCCACCCCGTCGGGGCTGTAGCCAGCTCCGCTGTGGTAACCTGAAACAGGTGAGCCGGAGTCAGCGTGGGGTGGGCTTGGGAGGAGCCATTCCTCCACAGTCTCGGCCTCAAGATGGCAATAAATTTTATCAGCCTAGGGGTGGCCAGAGAGGAGGAAGAGCAAGTGGAGGGAAGCCCCATGTATCAGGACTCAGACACACCCAAAGGATTGTGGGAGTCTGGCTTGGGCAGTGTGGGGCTCTGGTAGGGGAGGAGAGACTGGGAGATGGTAGTGGAGAAACTGGAGGCGGGGCTTAAGTGTACATGGGGTCAGGGTGTAGTGGTGTGGGGTTCAAGCTGAGAGACATGGGGTCCCTAAACCCTGCCTTGGCCCAGCCCCATTGTCTCTGATCCAACCGGGAAGCCTCATTTTCTTTGGGCGGTATGCTGGTGGTGCGGGTAGAGGAGGTGGGTACCCAGCCTCCCTCCCCCATCTTCTCCCTCGCTCCCTGCCTTAACTTCCTCCAGGAACAGTGGCAGCACAGTCAGCTGGTAGCCCCTGCATCCCCACTCCCCAAAACGAAGGTGCAGATGGTGGCGGGAGATGAGAGGCGCGGTCGGAGTCCAAACCACAGATCCATTCATTAAAGGAAAAAAGGTGAAAAATCCAAAAAGAAAAAAGAAAAAAGAAAAAAAAGAAAAAAGGGAAAAAAAAACTCATGATGAAAGGATGGACAAAGGACGAGGGGCCGTGTGGGCGGAGTCACCACAGCGTGCTGACGAGGATGACGAGCTCCAAACAAAATACCAAAACCAACCAAAAACAGGGGGAAAAATTAAAAGCAAAGATCTGAAAATATCTTTAGGCCACAGATGGGGTGGGCAGGCGGCGGGCCGGATGTCTTACCATCGCCAGGGGAGTCGTTGGCCAGCGAACCTCCTTCTCGCGGCCCCCTTTCGTGAGCAATTTGACGCGTGATTATTGCGTCTATGAACGTGGCCGCTGTCAGGGTGGTCTTACCCAGAGAACGGAGCTCCAGTTCCTGGATGGAAAAGGGTTTACTTTGAGTCTTTTCTCGGTGCAGATCTGAGGCCGAGGTGGGCGCCGGCGGGTCCGGACTGGCATGGTGGGGTGCAAGGCTCTTTGCTGGGGTGCGGGCGATGGCTGTGTGGCTGGAGCTGGGGGGTGCTAGGGATCGGGGCTCGGAGCTCTTGCTAGGTGAGGAGGCAGGTTCCCGGGCCGGGGGCTTGGTGAGGAAGGCATGGCCAGCATCCACACGGGGCCGCTCGGGCCGGGTAACCCGAGACGTCTCCTTGGGTAACAGGACGGGCTCCATGAGGGTAGGGTAGACCCCTTCAAGGGTGCCACCAAGTGGACAGTGGGTGGCAGGTGGGAATGTGGCAGCTGGGCGGACAGGCGAAGAGGTGGAGGTAGACCTGAAAGGAAAGAGACAGGGTCAGGCAGTGCTGGCCAGCGGATTCCTACCTCACACCCTCCGAGTCCCTGACTCTGACTCTCATTCCCTGAGGCTCTCCTGACTGACCTATGCTGTGCTTGGCTCCACTCAGTCCCTCGAACCCAAAGCTTTTTACTGAGTCCCTAACAAGTGCCAAGCACAGAATACAGCAATTCAGACAAAGGTGGCCGGAGCTTCTGAGAAGACAGTGACATGCTCTCCTGAGGTCACCCACTGCCACACAGCCAGATACAAGCGTGGTGTGTGGAGGACAGGAAGCTCACACAAGGCTGGCAGGAGGCACTCCTAGAAGCTGGCAGGAGTGCGGGGCCTCTCAGCAGTGAGGAGCAGTGAGTGAGCCAGGAAGCGTGGGACTGACTCCAGGCAGAAGCCCGGCATCCCGGGACCAGCACTGTGGGCAGCTGTGGGCGACAGCAGCCCTGCGGCCTCTCTTTAAGCTTTCTGTTCTGCTTTTTCAAGTTGTTACTCCTGGGCCTCATACACTAGTGACTACCGACTGACTCGTACACCCACCCCGTCATCCACTACCTGTAGTCAGTCCATCTGTCTGTCCGTCCATCTGTCCGTCCGTCCATCCATCCATCCATCCATCCATCCATCCATCTGTCCGTCCATCCCCGTCTCTTTGTTCACCCTCATACCTGTCTACCCAGAGCATCCTCTACTGTCATCTACCCGTCTACTGTCATCTGCCCGGCTACCTGCATCTACTCTCTCCCCCCTGGGCCATCCTCCACCTGCCTACATGCCACTGATCTACCCACTCTCTCGTAATCTCTCTCACTCACCCACCTTCCGATCCTGCTGCCATCTGCTCGGTTCTCTACCCGTGTGCCCATCCACACCCCCTCCCCTCGGCAAGTGCATCTGCGTGCCCTCCCCCCAGGCTTGTTCCCCCCGGTGCCAACCTGGCCCACCTCAGGACCGTGGGCGTGCCGGGTTCCACGGAGGTGACCACGCCCTTCATGCTCGTGTTGTGCAGCACACTGGGCCTCTGCTGCAAGGCGTCCTGGGTCCGGGGGGAGATGGGCGAGTGCTGGTGGGTGTGGGAGGCGGGGCGGCTGCTGCCCCCAGCCCCGCTGCTCTGCTCCGTACCTGGTGACAGGCCGCCGAGTCAGGGGGCAGGCCCAGGTGGCCCATGAGGACCTGGGGGTGGGGCGGGGTCTGGGGTGCCCTACCAGGTCTCCAGATGGGTGCATGCTCCACTGTGGTGGCAGACGTGAGGATGGACTTGTCTCGTTCTCGTTCTCGCTCACGTTCCCGTTCCCGCTCCGATGAAGATGTGGCGGTTGGTTTAGCTAGGTGAGTGGGGCCTCCTAGAAACCCCAGGGCCAGACAGTGAGCCAGAGCCCAATGGGCCAGAACTTACCTGTAGGGCATCAGGAGTGAGGCATGAACCCGCCCACCCGCTTGCCAGGCACACCTGGGGACAGTGGGGAGCTGCTGTGGCGGCTGCTGAAGGGTGGGGGCGCGGTGGGGAGGTAGGCAAGGCGGTCAATGGCGGTGGCAGGGGTGCCTGGCGTTGGTGGCACCAGCACGGGCAGGTGTGGCACTTGGGACAGGTCGATAATGCCTGGAAGAGTGGGGATGGGGTATTAGCGGTAGGTGCCTGACCTACTTGTCCCCAAGGGTGTAGGCCTGAGACCTTGCACCTGGTGGTACCCCTCCCTGGTGCCAAGCTGGGCCCCAGGCCTCCCCACAGCACTGTCTCCTTGTCCTCAGCTCTCACCCCCCCCAAAACCCCCAGAGTAGGTTCAGCTTCACAAACTGGGGCCACAAAGTTATCTCTGAACGGTTGTGGCAAAGTGACCTGGGCTGTTCACAGGCTCCGGAAGTCAGTGCTCCAAAAAGCCTCACGCTCCAATTCCTTTCTCTTTTGTCATTTGTATTAAGATGGACTCATGTAGCCCAGGCTGGCCTCAAGCTTTACGTAGCCGAGGCATGGCCAGAGTTCTTAGAGTACGGGTGTGCAAGGCCACATCTAGCCGGTGTTCTGAACTCTTGGATGTCAAAAGATGTCTCATACCAAGGTCTCAGAACAACATGCAAAGACCCACTGTGCATGTAGCAGCAAGAGGTACCTGCTACGTATGTACATACGTACATATATACATACACAGCCGCTAGAGCGAGCAGATGTAAGCAGCAGCACTCTCCCCTCTCCCAAGGGGCCAGCACTCACTACCTAGTCCACCCAGCCAACTGCGACCCCTCTGCCCACCTTGTGCAGTGCATACATGGGCACCCGTGTCTTTCGAATACCACGGCACAGGACAAGCCTCAGCCGATGGGTACAGCCCAAGGTAACTCACCTCGTGGGCCAGCGGCATAATTGAGGGCTAGTGAGGACTCTCTCGGGGACAGACCCCTCAGCATATCGGCGCGCTGGGCCATGGCAGAGGCGGCGTTGTGGTGCATCTGCTGCGAGGTGATGTAGTCATTGATGATGGTCTGGCGGTTCTCCAAGGCCGCGGTGTCAGGGTAGCCGCGGATGAGGTAAGGCGGGTACAGGTGTGGGTAGGTGGGGCTGGGGGCCAAGTGCCGGGGCAGGTAGTAGGCTGCGGCTGCTGGGGAGGGAGGGAGGGAGGGAGGGAGGGTCAGGTGGCCCATGCTTTATCTTCAGGCTCCCCACTTCTGCAAGGACAGCTTCCTCTCCTTGTGCACCCACACACACACCTCCCCAATGCACACACAGAGCTTAAGACTTGCTAGCTCATCCTGTGGGGCGTCTGCTGTCACAGCTTTGGGAAGCGATCCCCGATATAATGCACCAAAATACAGGTCCTGACACCCTAACAAAGGAGCCTTTAGAAAGGCTGCACACCATGGCACTCGCTGGAGCCCCTCATTTACTACAATGGACAGGTGAGTCCTGCAGGAAAAGAAGCCCACTGAGAAACACGATCCCAGGCCCCAAGCCCTGGAACCTGCCCTGGGCTAACCAGCGGGTGATCTCAGCACGAAGCCTAGCACCAACTCTCCAGATCCCGAGTGCCCACCTAGCAGAATCATTAAGCCCCGAATCTACAGGCCCAGGGCACCCACCTGCTTCCAGGGGGATCCCTCGGGGTATGGAGGTGGGGTCAAAGGCCAATGGGATGTGGCCACGGTACAGATCCACGCCAGTCACACCCCGGAGCAAGTGCTCATAGGGGGAGATGGGGTGGGGATGGTGCTCGGGGACGGTGCTGTGTGGGGACTTGGCGATCTCCCGGGGTGTCGATGTCAGCTTCCGGTCCTGGGACGCCTTGCTGGATAGGAGGCTGCCTGTGGGCACAGATCACAGTGGCCTTAGCCTCAGTGCAGGGCCACCCGGCTGAGTTGTCACAAGCCTGTTGCCTCTCTGCTCTTGGTTCCTTGTGAAAACATTCATTTACTCCCTGGTCACCGTTTCCCATTCATTCCACCAGGCTGACTTAATCACGGGCTGACAGTTCCCATGAGGAGAGGGAGCACCCCAAGAACAAAGCAGGCAAGAACCCTGAGCCCCAAGAAGCCATTTGTTCCAGGTAGGAGATGAATCACAAGGTGGGAATTGCATGGGCTTGAGAGAGAGAGAGAGGGGTTTGACTACAGTCTAAATGCTGTGGGAAGCGTTCCCAGATATCATGTATCGTAACACAGGTCTGACACCCTAACACAAGCCCAGCTGCGAGGTGGCTGGAACCGGCTAGAGGTGGCTATAGCCTCCCCAGGCCCTGACATCTGAATCAGGGTGGCGTGGGCTATACAGGGGTTGGCTAGAAACAGAAAGAGGTGCAGCCTTCTGAAGAGAGGGCCAGCAGTGCGCGGAATGGCTGTGTGTGTGGAAGGAGAAGGAGGGCAGAAGTCAGGGAGGCGAAAAGAACCAGAGAGGGAAGCAGAATGCGGAGATGATGTCACAGGCAGGTGCTTCAGACCAGCAGCCTTACCAGAGAGAGGAAGCCTCCAGAGCGGAAACTGTTTCACTTAAACTATTTCTACTTTAATCTTTGTGTGTGTGTGTGTGTGTGTGTGTAAAATAGGAAGAGAGTGATGAGTCAAGACAATTTCAAAGGTTAGTTTTCACTTCCCACCATGTCTGAGACAAGGACTCCCACTCATGGCCTGGGAGCTTTAGGAAACTCTCCTGTCCTGGCCTTCTGTCTCACTGTGAAGCATGAGAATTACAGATGTGTATAAGTGTGCCTGGCTTATATGGGTGCCGGGGATTTGAACTCTGTTTCTCATGCTGGTGCAGTGAGTACTTTAGCCACTGAGCCTTTTCCTCAGAGTTGATTTGAATTATTTAAAAAAAAAAAAAATCGTGAGGGGAAACGAAGGGGGCTCCTGTATGCAGTGTGGAGGCAGGGTGGCAGATAGACTGGCTAAGGCAGGTGACAGTCCAGGGCATCCTGCCTGAGTGAGCTGTCCCCTCCCCACAGCTGGCAGCCTGTGGGAGCCTCACCCACTGACCTTCCTGAAGGCGTGGCGTGGGCTCCCTCGTAGTCACAGGTGAGCCACGTGGCAGGTGGCTGGTGAAGGGTGCCCCATGGTCTTCATAGGTCAGTGGGCTTTGCCGTGGCTTGCCCAGCTCAGGCACAACGACCGGGGCCCCGCGAGTGATGGAGCCCCCTGCACCACTGGTAGTCCCTGACCGGCTCTTCAGACTCTCTTCATAGCAAGCACGCTCCAGTGCCCGGGCGTCAGCCATTATGTCCAGTGGGTGCAGGGCAGGGAAAGGCCGGCCGGGGCTGCCGATGATGGAACGCACATCGTGTTTCTTAGTGCCAGTGGGGGGCGGCCCGGAGTCGTACTTGAGTGGAGTGCCCTGGGGAGAGGGCACAGGTCTGTATTTGGCTGGCCAGATGCTGCTCTTCCTGTACATCTGCACAGGATGGGGTATCTCTAACACCTTGACAAATGGACAGAGACCTCTACCGGGTCATGATGTCCAGAAGCTGGAAGCCCTGCTCACTTGAGTCCGGCTACACATCCAGGGTGCCAGACTGAGGCTATCTACAGGCCAACACAACCTTCCTCACCCAGTGGGGGCCCCGCCATCTTGCAATGCTATGGAATTCTATAGCCCGATGCATCTGCTGTGACCCCAGCTGTGGCTCTGGGTCCCAGGCTGGAGTTACACATTCTCTGTCAGGTCTCAGAGAACACCATAGAGACGGGAATTATTGGACATCATGGAAAGGACTCCATGGGAATCCTGGCTGGGGACACTGAGCACAGCCAGGTCCCAGATCAATTCTACTCAATCTTTGTGTTGTTATTAAACTTTAAAACTTTGGTGACTGGCACTAAGCCAGAGTACAGCTTTGTAGCCTAGGCTAGCCTCAAATTTACAATCTTCCTGATTTAGCCTTCCAAGTGTTGGGCCCAAAAAGAGGGAATGGCACCTAAGTTTTCAAAAGAATTCTCTAGAAACATTCTGGTCCATCACTGAGTGTGTCCCTGGCTCAGGTGACAGCCCTCTCTAGGTGCCTTTGTCTTTCTCTTTCCCATCAAGCTATCACCAAGGTAGGGGACGGTGGTTCGAGTCTTGACGTACACACGCAGGTGGAGATGTGGGGGAGCAGCCAAGTGACAAGTTAGGGACACAAGACTTGGGTTTCACAATTAGTGTCAGTGACCAGAGCCAGCTGCTGACCTCTCTGGGCCTCAGTTTATAACCCAATGCAACGAGGACAGCATCAGAACCCCTTAGGTTTGCCCATGCCCTGGCCCCTCCTATGTGCTCCTCATACCTGGGTGATGGAACCTTCCTTCAGAGGCCGTGGTGCCAGGGGAAGCTCAGGTGTGCGGCGCAGCTCCTCTCGAGGGATCTCATGGATAGAGCGACCAGCCTCCTTCACAGTCGCTACCACACCCTCATGAGTTTGCTTCAGCTTCAGGGGACCCAGAGGGTCCAGGGGTCGGGTCTTGTAGGTCTCAGTCAGGTCCCGAGGGGGCGGTGGGGGTGGTGGCGTGCCTTCTCGCTTCAAGAGCTTGGCCTCTCGACGTAAGTAGTCCTCCTGGGCTTCCACATATGACCTCGGGATGCCTGCCAGGCAAACAGCATTGACTTTGCCTGGCTCAGTCTGGGTCAGCACCAATCCTCCCTTCCTGTGGGACCCTGGGTAGGCGAACTGACTTTTCTAAGCCTGTTTCTTCATATGACGTGAGGATGCTAAGTGAAACCATATTGCTCAGTTTACCACAAAGACATGAGCTACAGATTCATTCAATCTGGACCCCCTCCCAAACACTAGCAAGGCATGCATGAAGCTCTGAAATCGGTGCCAAGTACTGAGTAATCACTCCACCTATAAAACATGGATGGGGAAGCTCACGGTCTGTTTCCAACCCCTTAGCTGCTATCTGGCCTGGGGACGGAACTACACAGCAGGAGAAGGACGTACCTTGCGTGATGGAGCCTCGGATGTGATGCTGGTCCTTGAGGTGGGGGCTGTGCTGCTCAGGGATGGCACGGCCCATGAGTCCTGGGGAGAACAGGGATGATGTCAGCATACGGTGTCCAGGAGGGTCGGGATCTCCATCACGACATAAGACCCAACAAGCAAGCACCCACCTTCCCTGGGCCCCATTCTGCATTGGGTTGTGCCTCAGTTTCTCTATATGTTAATATTAAGCCAACTTCTGACTGGCTCCCTCCAGGCATGTCAAGAGGCCATCTCCCTTTTCATTCTTGCCTGGGTGTCTAGGGGGCTCCTGGGAGAGTGCTTGGCCCTGGTTAAGCTGCTACAGCAGGGCACTTACCCTCGATGCTGGCTGAGGTGATGGTCCTGCCCACACGGCCCTCCATCATGTCATACGTGCGTTTAGGGGCGGCAGTCTCGTGGGGCGGGCCCGAGCTGCTCCTTCCGTCCTCCTTGGAGCACTGTGACACGGACATACTACCTGGGAGGCAGAAAAAGCACATGGTGTGGGGTGGCTGCAAGGTGCTGACACCTCGGGCATGGTGCTAGGCCTGTAAACAGGCAGAGCTGGAAGGAGACCCTGCCATCCCACAGATGGGACCCTCAAAGAAGCCCAGTTGGTGGGAAGAGCAGGGCATGCCCGCCACTTGTGTCTAGGTGGGTGGGTATGTGTCTGTGCCCGTGGGTACATGTGCACACTAACAAGACACCAACAGTCTGAGTCTGCAGGGAAGCCCCCACAAGCGCCTGAAGATCTGTATCTGCACAGCTGGGTATGTGTAAGCTCCTGGTCCAAGGACCATGCGAAGCCAGTTTACAGGTGTGCCTCTGTGTGCCAGGGACAGAAGTGGCTTTGCTAACCCCAGTGACTTGGATGTTCTGGCTACGGAACATTGCAAAGAAAGAGCTGGCAGCTGGGACTGACTGCCAGCAGGCGACACTCTGAACTGCTTCAGACCCACTTGGCCCAGGAGAGACGCACAGGACACGCCATCTCCACAAAGACTGCCTGGAAGGTTACAACCTGAGAGTCTGCATGCTCGCAGGCTGTGACTAAGGGCTTGGTCCAGGACTCTGACCACCTGCTCTGCTAGCGCTTGGGACTATCACTGGGACATGCATCTGGCACCCAAGGGAACCGTAGCCCTTGACCTCAAGACTGTCTTTATTGTCAGGTGCCAAAGCCACATGGGGTCACTTGTGACCTCTAGGACTTCTAGGCTATGGGGCTTAAGGAACAGGGAAGCTGGCAGTCCCTGGGATCCCAGCAGCGAGTGTTGGTATGGGTGCCTGGCTGTTGGGGGATGCTTCCCACGTGTGTGGTCCTCAACTTTCAGGCAGCACTGGCTATGTTTTCTACCCAGAGATGAGGGTGACATGGCTCTGCCACAGCTCTTCCCTGTCACGGCACTCGAAGCTGCTGCCCCCAGCTTTCCCAGACTATGTAGGGGGAAGCTGCCAAGGCCAGCCCTGATCTCTTCTGGATTGTATGCCTGCAGGATAGAAGTCACTCCCTGCCTGCTCCTTGGTATTCCTTGAGCTCTGCCTGGCTCTAAAGACACCTCTATAGACCCCACAGCCTCCTCCCTAACAAGGGCTGCCTTGTCTCACCAGGGCCAGGATGGCACCCTCATAGAAGGGCCTTGAGCATGAGTATGGTCATCTCCCCTAAGTGTAAGGTGGGCAGAACCTCGGCCCAGCCCTCAACCTGTCCAGACTGCCACACCCCTTCCCTGCTCAGCCAAGTGTCGACACACCACAATGACTGCCTGGTGACACACGTTGCAGTCTAGTCTGTAGGACTCCTAATCAACAAGGGGTTTCCATCCTGAGCTGGCAGGGAGGTACTGTCGGATACTAAGCCTCGGCCTAGCAAGATGATTGTTCTTAGTGTTCTTGCTATGTCTGTCTTGAGAAAAGACATCCTGGCAACGTCAAGAAAGGGGGACAGGCGTACCCCACCTACCTGTCAGTGCCTCACGGCTGTCTGTCCTCTGTACTCACCTTCATAGGACAGGACATGGCCTTTCTTGCCCTCATAGATGACATGGCCCTTGGGCAGGGTGTCCTCTCGCGCCCGGTCAAGGCGACTTGGGCTGTCCTCGCCGACGATCCTGCTGATGGTACCCTTGTAGAGGACATCCGCTGGCGTGCCCTATAGGGTGGAGTGGTAAGCCCCCAGATCTGTGGGTGGGTGACTCCTCACACACTACCCATTCCCCTGCCCTACAAGGCATGTAGAGAACACAGCCACACGTGCGTAACTTCCCTCCGCACCGTTGCCAGTGTCGCTCATCCTGGCTTCCTAGTGCCAGGACTGCTGCCAACACCCCGTCCCCCACTTGTGCCCTCCCAGAGACACTACCAAGGATAGTATCATACTGTTCCATAGAGACAATGTCTCTCACTCTACAGGTCAGGTTAGCCCAGAACTCACCATCCTTCCTGCCTCAGTGGGTACAAAGCCTGGCACCCACTCCTGGCTCATGCTTATGGACTAGTGATATGTCAAGAGCCAGCTGCCACCCCCTGCTCCCTCTATTTCTTCTGGCCATGGTAACATGTCACGCTCCCCTCTTCCTGGCCCTGGTAACTTTCTCAGTTCAGATACTTTATGATCTGTGGCTCCTGAAAGTCTGGTTACTGGCCTGGTTATCCCTGTCTGTGGTTGGTCTCTGCCGCACATAACTGCCAGAGACACACGACACTTGTTCTCTTTATCACCCTAGGCCTGACCCCACACAGTGACCAACCATTCAGATCACTGTCTCTAGTCTCCCCGGATGTCCTCTCATCCCATCCCAACCCACTTGGCATGCCTGTCCGTACCACCCTGCCCCCAGCACCTACATGGGTGATAGAACCTCGGTAGCTGGGGCCATCTGCAGCCCGGGAACTGGGGAGGCCCTTGGTGATGCTTCCACTGCCGGTGGAGCCCAGTGCTGTCCCTAGAAGGCATAAGACACAGCTCTCAGGACCCCACGTCTAAAAGCCACCCAACTGTCCCTCTTGGTGTCTCAAGGGTGAGGAGACAGCCGTGAAATGGGCTCTTAGGTTCTCTAGGACTGAAGGCAATTGGGCTAGCCTTACCTCTCAGCACAGAGGTCTCCTGAGCAGTGGGTACTCCCAGACTTTCAGGTGGCCCAGCCTGAGCCCGAGGAGACAACTGTTCCTGCTTCACTCCACTGAAGGGGGCTGGGTGGAAGAGAGGGTACACAAAGGTCTCAGAATGCCCCTCCCACTAGACTCCCAGGGCCGAGACTGCCTACCCCTTAGCACAGGTTGTAGGAATCAAAGGGTCATGGGAACTCACCCAGCTTCTTAGGGTCCACAGCAAGAGGCAGCCCCATGGTGAGAGGGCCCATGGGGGCCTTGGCATGTTCGGAGTGAGGCACACGAAGCTGTACTGACATTCCCTGCTAGGGTGAGCAAACAGATCACAACCAGAGTCAGCCACAGGGACAGCCGTGCTTAGGGACTTAAGGACATGCAGGTGAGAGACAGGGCTGCCGGCCCTCCCTCTGAGCTGGAGGACTGTGGGCAGGGCAACAACTGCCCAAGGCCAGCGCCCACATAAAGGACACAGCGTGACTGCTTCGCACACCACGTGGTGAGGGTAGGTAGGATGCAGAGGTGACCAAGGGTTTAGGACGTGACACTAGACAGCCTGCAGCAGCCGCATCTCCACATCCTCGCGCTTAACGGACGATGAACTGAGGCCTACAGACGCTGAGTCACCTGCCTGAGGCAGCAGAATGCACGGCCTGTGATCCACGTAGCCACCGTAGGCTGGTCCAAGTAGCAGAGATGACTCCAGCCAGCTCCCACCCAGCACCAACCTTGGACACATCCCTGGGCTCGAAAAGGGCTCCCTGTGATGGGGAGACCCAGCCCAAGAGGTACTCACCTGGGAGATGGCACCCAGCTGCCTCTCAAGTACGCCGGGATGCTTGGCGGAAGAGATGAGGGGTGGGGGGTTAGAGATGGGGGGGCGTGGCAGGACGGGCCGGGCACTATCGTGGAGGCCCAGAGGCAGTGGGTGACCTGCAAGGAAACAGGAAGTGTATACTGGGGGCTCCTCTACACATCTCTGCTTCAAAGACCTGAGCACCCCATGGGAACCCCACAGTCCTGGGTCCTCTACACCCGCACCATCCACATCTCTCCCCTCCATCACCTCCTGCTCCACAGCCAAGCCTCTAAGCCAGCACCCTGATTTCCACTCCCTCCCGAGATTCTATCCTCCTCACAGGAACCAAAGGGATCTTTCCCAGAGTCAGTAGGCCATCCCTCCCTATGCCTTCAGGAGAGTCACCTTGGGCATGGGTTTCAGTGGCATGTGACTGGGGATCCCTGGGCTGGCTGAGTAGCAATTCTCTGCTATAACAGTCTGACCTGGTACCTCAAGTGTCCCGACTCTTGCTTTTGGCCCTTTGCATATGCTGTTCCTTCTGCCTGGCATGCCTTTCCCTGTTCTCCAAGCTCTGTCAGTACACTTGTCCCACATGGTCAGCAACACCTGGGCCAGCCACTGCTGACGCTGGTTATTGTTGGCCCCTGGCTGGATTACTTTTAATGGTGGTGAGGACCATCAAGAATAAAAAAACCTAGGTGGCTTCACCAAAACAGTCTCATAGCACCTGTCAATCAAGACTGCCCACCCCTCCCTCTAATGCCCATCCTCTTAGTCACTGGTGGAAAATATCTCCCATGCTAGACCTCCCCCTTCCAGGTCAAGTACCTCCCATGGCTGCCAATGGGCACTGTGCGTAGTATGTGGAAGCTCCCCTCAAGTCTCAGAAGGTGCCCAACTTTGCAGTACTGAGCAAGCCAAACCTCCAGCCAAAGACTCATCCGACGGGCACCACGCCACCCCGCGCCAGTGCAAAGAGCTGGTTGCCCACGGACAGCACAGACTTAATTGGTGTGCTGCCCACTCACCGGGGGGTGTGTAGGAGAAGGCAGAGGGGTCTGCGGCGTGTGGGGAAGTCTTGATCACCTCCCGTGGCGGGATGGGGAAAGGCAGGCCCGATGTCCAGCGTGGGGGCTCAGTAGGTAGCTTCGGACCCTCAGTTGGGAAGGTCGGAAAGAATGAGGGTTTCTCTACTGAAAGAGGGTTAGACGGTGGCCAGTCAGGGAGGGCTCTGCCATCCCCATACCCTCCAACCCCACTGGCCAGCTGTGACAGACCCTGACAAGAGGGGCACTGGGATATGTCAGCGGAGGTGTGCTACTATGGTCCCCATGATACCTGCTTGGTATGGGACTGGCTCATGGCTGGACCACAGGGACAGTCACAACAGAGGGCATGTGTCAGAGGGACAACGTCTGCTTTACGATTCCCCGCAGAATGCCCCCAGTTGAGTGTACAGGACCAACAGTGCTGGCTGGGTCAGGCTTGCTGACCGCCCTCGGTGACTGCAAGCTATGGCAGTGGGTGTGGCTAGCAGCCACTCTAGATGAGCTTGGGGCAGAGGCAGTGTGTGTATAGCCATCTACTATATATATGGCAGTCAGTAGGCTGAGCCTGTATGGCACACTGAGGACAGTGACCAGACCCGTCACCTGCCAAATGTGGCCATGTCTGGATTGGAGCCCATGTGGTCACAAACAACAGCAAAAGGTAGCACATTTTCGGATGTCACAGCCGGTTTGTTCCTTCACCCTCAAGATGGAAAGACCGAGGCCCTGGCTGCTGAGTGCAGGGGAGACCTGAGAACACAGGCAGCCGGCTACAGCTCGTGGCTATGCCACATGGCCCAGAACCCCCGTGATTCTCAGGTGTCGAACGCCCAGAGACAGGTCTGCACCCACTGAGGCTCCATGAGCTCTGGCTTTAGCTTCGATCTGTTCTGAACTGCAAGCCTTGGCTGGATACATTCTGGGGATCACGACCCACCCAGAAATCCTGAAGGACAGTGGCCCTGGCCTCGGGACAGGAACTGACAGCTAAGTGTCTTGAGGATCACCTCCACACAGCCCTAGGCTGTCCTCAAGAAAAGCTACGACACAAGCAGAGGTCCAATCTCTCCTTTACGGGGGACCAGACTTCCCCTGAACTCACGGCCCCTGGGGAGATGGTGGCCCACCAAAATAACTGGTGTGGTATTCACATTCTCAACCTACAGGGCTTGCTCTGAACCAGGAAGTTCAAACACCCAATGCCCTGGCCCAGTGTAGACCTTGGCTGCCCCATCCAACTTGGCTCTGGAGAGCTGGGGGACAGAGAGGAAGTCTCAGGCTGGAAGGAAATGGGGTCAGACTCAGCCAATGCAGGCAGGTGGCTGAGAGCCAGGATGGACAACCTGTTCCTCCAGCCGGGCCTGGGGATCCCAAGGGACCTGGCTGGCCTGGAAGCTCCCTGTTGGAGCCAGGACAGAAAAGGCTGGCTTCCTGCATGCTGGGTTCATGTGTCCTCTGGGGAGCCGCTCTGTGGCCAGACCACGTGACAGAGCTTGCCGCCAGGTGCAATGTTCCCCAGGGAGGAGTCTAGGAAACAACGTAGCACTGGCCACATGGATGGGCCCAGAACCAGCCTCAGGGACCATGAACTGCTGGCTCTTTTCCCAGGGACTGGGGCCTAGGGCCCAACTTAGCAGGACCTGGCTGGCCCTAGGTGGCTCCAGCCCTGCTCAGCCACAGCTGCCTGGCCAGAGCCAGACCAGTGCCTTTCCCCTCCCCTTTCGGTCATCCCAGGCTGTCATCTTGAGTCCCGGTGGCTTCTCACAGCCCGTTGTATTCTATACACCTGGCCCCTTAAAGCCCACCCCTTCCTGTAGTGTGTTCCCGACCCAGCTCCAACAAGACACCCCTGCCCTTGTTTCCCAGGGGTCATCACTAGGTCCCGGTGGCTTGGCCTCAGGAACAAACTCAAGCCTCCCCTTCCTCCCACTTCCACTTCCAAGGCCACCTGTCAAGTCCAGGCTGCCCTGGAGCTGTTGGGAGGAGCGCCTCAGCCCGCCTCCCACCCCTGCCCTACTCCCTTCTGCCCTTTTTCAACAAGAATCAGACACTGATTTTTCTCAAAACCCTAATCTGATGACATGCCCCTCCCAAAGCAAACTGTCACTCAAAGCTGTTCTCCACCTTAGCTACACAATTTCCTCCCCACTGTCCTCTCTGACCTCCTCCCCCCCTCCCAGTCTCTGAAGGGCCTTTCCCCATCATCTCCTATGCTCTCCCACCAGATCCTTGTGGGACACACAGCCCACCTGTGTCTGCCCCGCACCGGCCACGGCCTGCTTGTTTCTCACGCCCACCACCACTAAGTTAGGCAGAGCCTCTACCTCCCTCTGACAATCCTAGTGCTCAGAAGCACCGATGTACAAACACCACGGGGCCCTGGCAGATGCTGCCCACTACCTGCCCAGGAGGCTCTGTGCTGCCAATGAAGGGGTGTCAACAGTGGGCAGGCCATGCGTTAGCCGGGGAAAGGCTAGCCGGTTCAGCTCAGGTCAGTCCTGCTGTTGTTCTAAGACAGTGACCTGCACTGCACCCTCAGGGATCCCAAAGGTCACATGGGACCTGAATCACACCAAAGGAGAAGCTGGCTACATGTATGTTTGCACACACATGCATGCGCGCACACACACACACACACACACACACCACACCCCAACACTAGACTGCCTCTGATTTCTCAAGAGCCCCCAGCCTGAGTTACTTCTGGAGCTCTGTGGCTGAGACCTGTCATCTGCTGCCGTAACAATGTATCCTCCTAGCCTGGCCCGGGCTTGCCCTGGGAGCTCCACAGAGAAGAGGGCTGCTCCTCACTCCCACCGCATCCCTGTGCCCAACACTCACCCTCTTTCTCAGCAGGAGGCACTGGGCTCCGGCACTTGCCACGTGGACTTCCTCCGGACTGCTGAGACACGTCAGCCTCTGGCTGTAGGTGCTGCGTGGGTGGAGGCACAGGGGGAGCTGGCTTTGGGGGTACTGTGTCCTCCCGGGGGGGTTCATGGACCTTGGTGACCTGTTGGGGGACACAGGGAGGGCGTGAACATCCTGGCCCCATGTCAGAGGCTGACAGGTTAGGGAGTGGCCGTGTGGCCAGTACAAAAGCCAGGTTTAGAAAGGCAGCCACATTCCACTTAAAGCCCCCATGTGGAGGCAGAGCCTTAACATCAGACATGGGGGGGTGGGTCATCACTGCCAAAGAAGGGCCTGTTTCCGGTGCCCAGAGCCAGGCAGGTGCTAGGACCTGTTAGGACCCACTATTGTGTACTCCACCTAGCACACCCCATATCACCACGAGAATCAGGAGTAAGAAGTAGCAGCTATGTGGGCTTTGGGGAGCTAGCAGTGAAGCCAGACACCTATGTCCAACACTTAAACCTGACAGACAGGCCACTTTGGACCTCCACAAACTGCTGCTTTCAATAGAAAGGCAAAACCTAAATCTTAAAATAGCCGAAGAGACTAAAGCCAGGCAAGTGTCTTTAGAAAACGGGGAGCTCCAAAAGGCCCCAGAGACAGACCTGAAAGGGCCTGGACATCAGTTGGCTGAGGTGTCGTTGGGTCTGGGGACTGGCTTGCTGGCCACAGCTGCCTGGTCTGGGGCGTGGGGGAACCTCCAGAGAGCGTCTGCTCAGACCGGCCTTCCCGATCTCCCAACTCCTCCCAGCCTGCCTACCTATCAACCAGTCCCGTGTATACATCTCCATCTCTGGGAGCCGCTAGCCTGGGGAAGAGCCTCCCTCCGGAGGCAAAGCTCCAACCAGCAATGCTGAACACAGGAAATCAGGTTCAAGGTGGGCTGCCTGGATGCAGGGTTTACTCACAATAGGGGGGATGGCGGCTGCTCGCTGCTTCAGCTGCTTCAGGTCCAGTGGCTTCTGGGGCGAGGTACTGGCCCGGGGATCTCCGGCTGGGGTGAGGAGGCTGGGCCTTGGTGACAGCAGCCTGGGGAGGGACAAGCGTCAGGTCAGGCTGGAGCATCAGCCACAGGCTCTTAGAGGGCCTTCCTAGGAAAGTGGGCTGGGGCAGTCCTGCCTCCATGGCTTCTCCTTCAAGTCCTGAATGGTGGGGTCTGCCAGGGAGGCCCTTAGCAGAGTCCAGGTGCCCCAGCCAACACACTCTGCTGGGTAGCCGCACTCCTCTGGCCCACACGATCCACCGCTCCAAGATGGCCTCAGGGCAAAGAGGACAGCTGAAAAGACCTAACTGGGCGCCTAGGCCATGCAGGCCCTCAGGGAGTGGCCGGAAGGCCACAAACTCAACCGGATCAGGGTGGAGGGACATGGAGAGATTCCTTGGAGATTATTTTCGTCTCAAACCCAGAGTAAGAAGAGCAGACTGGGACCTGGGACGGGGCGGATGACTCTACTAACTGGAGCCTGTGTGTATTGGGCCCAAATATGTCTCTGAGCTCAGTCCTGTCCTGGGTGGGGGGGGTGTTAGGCAAGTTTCACGACCTCAATGACGGGATGAGCTATGGGTACAGCCCTAGAAATTGGACAGAGGAGAAATCTAGGGATGGTCCTTAAAAACACCAGGGGCTATGCACCTCTGGGTACTGAGACCATCCTGGTTCAAGGCACATGAAGCCACGTAAGCTGGCCCTTCAGCCTTTGGGGTGAGAACTCCTGACAGCTAAGACCACAGGGGACACAGCAAAAGAGCGCGAGCCTCCTTCAGCAGATGGAGGGGCACAGATTCTGCTGCGGCAGAAATATGCGTGCGACAGGCCCTGCGGGTAGCAGCCTGCTGCCCGCATCTGCCATACGCTCAGCCAAGCAGGGAGAGCAGACAGACAGGATGACGCCTGCTGAAGCTGCCTGAGGCAATCGGGGGGGGGGGGGGGGACAGGAAGAACAGGCCGCCCTGACTCCTCCATCCCACCTGTCCACACCCATGGCAGAGACTCCTCGGCTGCCATTCTCACCAGATCTCCTGTGGTCCATGTTCCATCTGCTCCGCCCTCCCTAAGCCATTTCTCTCCCTTCCTTTCTTTTTGGTTTTTCTACACAGGGCTTCTCTGTGTAGCCCTGGCTGTCCTGGAACTCACTTAGTGGACCAAGCTGGCCTCAAACTCAGAGATGTGCCTGCCTCTGCCTCCTAAGTACTGGGATTAAAGGCATGTTGCCATCATGCCTGGCTGCCCCTAGCCATTTTTATGACTAGCTTTGATAAACTTAAATTGAAATAAAATACTACACAAGCTTTGAAAAACGCCTCAGAAGGTCACGCCCAGGTTGGGTGGGGTGGCATGGCAACTATCACCCCAGCATTGGAGAGTCTGGGCAGGAAGATTCTACAAGTTCAAGGCTAACCTGGGCTACGTAGTGAATCTCACTTACGAAGCATCAAAAACAAAACAAGGCTTCCCCACTAACCCTATACTGAGCGGAACCATTCTCAGGAGAAATGAAGACGTATACCACAGAGAAACCAGCTTGTGAGTATTCTCAGCAAACTACGTAGTCATGCAGATACCCACAGACAGAGGCAAGGGGGCTGCCATCCAAGTCATGGGGTCCTGGCGCTTGCCCTTCAACAGAAGAGCCCCCAAAACACAGTGCTATGCAAAAGAGGCCAGACATAATGGCCACACGCCCCATCAATAGATACACACAACCAGGAAGGCTGTGGGGTGTTCTCCGGGGTGATGGCATAGTCTGTAATGATACCGTGAGACACTGCAAACACCCAATGTCACAAGACTGTGTGCCCTAAGTGGTGTGCAAGTGACTTACAGCTCTCCAGAGCCACCAAAGAAAGGTGTGCTGTAATGGAGAGGCCACTGCTGCAGCATTAAATTCGGGGAGCATCTTCACCCCCATCTGTGTAGCAGTAGAGAACAACAGGAAGCTTCAGCGCTGAAACTAGACTTTTGTGTATATGAAAATACGCTTCTGCAGAGATTCAAATTGCATGTCTAGTTCATGAAGGCACACGCCTGGGAACTAAGACCTTCTCTGTGTGCCTCAGTTTCCCTATAATCTCCAGGCAGGCCTAAAGCTAGAACGGTATCCTAGAGCTGGATAGATGGCTCTGTGGTAAAGAGCAGAGGCGCAGGTTTGGTTCCTAGAACCCACAAGGTGGTTCAGCACCAGAAAGAAGACCTGATGCCCTCTTCTGGCCTCCTTCCTCTGGCCTCTGTGGTCAGTGCACAAGAATGTGGCACACAAACACTCAGGCAGGTGTACAAACACGCACGCACATCAACGAGCGGCAGAGGTGGCTTAGGGGTATGGAGGCCAGAAGGCACACCAGGTGGTTTATAACCGCCCGAAACTTGTTCTCCAGGAGATCAGATGGCCTCATCCCTCCAAAGACACCAGCACTCACGTGCACACACTCATATATTCATACACAGACACGTCATTAAAAATAATAATAATAATAATAGCTTTGATGTCTGGTCTTCACAGGACAAAAACCCCACTGGTCACTAGACCCCGAGCTACAGACCTTAGAGAAGCACTGACCGTAAGCTCAGAGGCCAGAGGCCCTTTGTCCTACCTGGCTCCTCCCACACGAGGATGAGGCTTCCTCTCCACACTAAGAGCAATGACCATCAAGGGTTGCCGGCTTCGAGTCACACATACCATCCACATGTGTCATGAGCTACACGCCTTTCTTCCCACCAGCACCAAGAGCACTGGGAAATCAGGGCCCTGCTGGTCCTGTGTCTAGTCTCTCCAGGGGCCTGCCCAGCACTTGCTGTGAACCAAACACTGTGAACCTGGTCACAGTTATAACCAAACAACTCCGTGGTGACAACTTTACCCATTGCAAATGTGGAAACTGAGCTTGGAGGCTGGGGGTGGGTGGGGCTTCCCAAGGTCCAGCTCTACTGGAAAGCACCAAGTCCCTACTCTGAAAGTGAGGTAGGGCTGCAAGCCTCCTTGCAAACTCTGGGCTAAGCTTCCCCCGGCACGGCAGCAGTGAGCAGCGGAGCTCTCCCAGACTGGACTGAGAGGGCCTAGATGCGATCACCCAGAGTTTACAGAGAGCAGCTCAGGCTGCTGGCCTGCTGAAGTACTTCACTTACCCTCCCCATCCCCCATGGTGTGGCCAGTGAAGGTGGTAAGCTTCCCACCAGGAAGCCTAGATGCTCACTGAGAGCTCAGGTGGGCCCCAGGACAGGGAGGGTGTCCTGAGACCCAGCCTAGGAGCTAGAGAGCAAGCAGGGAAGGTGGATAGCCACCAAGCACCAGGGAGGGAAGATACTACTGGCTAGTACCTACGGGAGAAGGGAGCCAGAACTGAGAGGCCTCAGCCTGACCAGAGCCTACAGAAGTCTGAGGAGCGGGCTGGTATACAGGATAGTACCCCACGCCAGGCTCTGCGGCCTGAGAGTCTACCATCGAGACTCCAGAGGGCCATGCTAGAGCCACCTGTGGCTTTGTGGCAATCTCTCATCTCAGCAGAGACCCTGGTGGCACTGACACTGCCATGGGCCCTATGTCCTGTTGTGCCTATCAGGCAAGAAGCTGGGGACACGGAGGCCTGCTGGCTACCTTCTGCTTATCCAGGGCCATCTGTTGTCCACCTGCTCAATGTGGGCCCTACCAGTGGAGTCCTCCGGGACTAGAGAAGATCTACAAAGCATCCATTTCAAACCCACCAGCCCTGAGGGGAGAGGGGAGCCAGGGGAAGCAGGAAGGGCCCTGTGTGGGCCGACTGAAGGTCACGGTCTCCTCCCTTGCTCTGCTGGAATTTTTCAGAGACTCGAAGGGAGAGAAAACAGACTCTGCTGTTTGCAGTCAAAATAAACATAGCACACTGCCTCATCACAAAACAACTGCGGCTGCCCAGAGGTGGGTGGGGCTGTCCAGATGTGATGGGGAGAGGTTTCCAGACCTGCCTTTGGGTGCCTAGAGGGTCTCACCTAAAACATGGTGTGCCCCTAGGGCAGGGAGCGTGCCAATCGGAATACTCCACAAATCCAACGCTACCTCAGAGATAGGTGGGGGTGTCTGCACGGCCAGGGGCTCCAGTGTCTGGGCCCTGGGTGATATCATCTGAATCACTGCCCCATAGTTGGCATCTTTACTGCCATCACTGGAACAATCTGGCTCACTGGGACCCCCCTCAGCAGACTTCATGTCTCAACATCCTGAATACTCTGGGAACACAATCAATGGCCTGTCCCATGAAGTAGTCCCTCCTCACTGCAGGCACCAGGCTGGCCCCTAGCCATGGCCTCTGCATCAACCATTCTTACCATGGAAGGGAAGAACTGTGTCCCGGGATCCCAGACCTAACTCTGGGGCCCGGTGTATGAGACCTTGTCAGAAAGCTATGCTGATGTAGTCATGGGAGACGGGCAACCTTCAAGGAAGCAGGAATTAATTTAAACAGAGGTACAGGGGACCCTAAAGTCTATGGAGGCTAAGATCAGAGTGCTGTGTCTATAAGCCAAGGACTACAGGCATCCATCAGCACTGAAAGGTGCTGGATAGAAACCAGGTTGGAGTATGGGTGACTCCAGCACACCTGGATTTGGACCTTCTACCTCCCACTACTCTGCTATGTCAAGCCACCTGGTCTGGATCACACCAACACACACTGCTAGCTCATTCTCTCCCTGGAGCGTTCTATGGCTACCTCTCTTCCAGATCACATCTCCAGGTTGCCCCAGTGGGTCTTCCCTTCTAGAATGAACTCCCTGAAGGTGGTCTGAATAAGAATGTCCCCATAGAAGCACACATTTGAATGCTAAGTCACTATTTGAAAGGATTAGAAGGATTAGAGGGTGGGACCTTGTTGGAGGTAGTGTGTCCCTGGGAGCAGGCTTTGAGGTTTTAAAAGCCCAAGCCAGGCTCTGTAGCAATGTACACAGCTCTCTCCCTCCTTCCCTCCCCCACTGTGTGTCTCTCCACAGCTCTCAACCACTTCTCCAGAGGATATGGGCTAAACCTCTGGAACTGTAAGCCAGCCCAGGATTAAATGTCTTCTTCTGTAAGAACTGCCTTGCTCATAGCAATAAAACAGTGACTAGGACACCCCTGTTTCTGGTCTCAGTGTCATGTTGACCCCTGAAAACCAGCCACAAGACTCCAAGGCAGGCTGGGCCACCTGTGTTTGCAGAATACACAAGAACCAAAGCTCACTTGCTCATCGCCTCTCACCTGCCCTTGTCACCTCCCTCGGGCTCGTCCACCTCGTCGGCACTGCAGGTGGCACTGGAGTCACTGTCCTGGGTGGTACCCGAGCTGGAACCCTTGGCCACAGCTGCCTTGCTACCAGCCTCGTCCACCTTGAGTGGTGCCTCAGACACAGTCTCAATGGCCTCTGTGCCCTTGGCTTTGTCTTCAGGCTCCTCCTCAGTCTCTTCCTTGTGGTCGCTCTTTACACTCTCCGGTGGCTCCTCAGGAGCCTCGGGCTCCTCTGTCTTTCCCACATCGATCACCAGCTCCTCTGCCTCAGACTTCTGCTCCTTGGCTTCCTCCGTCTGGGGAACTGTAGCAGCCTGGGCTTCTTGTTCATCCTTGTCAACAGTAGTCGGGGGTGCGGCAGGTGATGGGGAAGCCACTGGGGATGGTGGCCCACTGGCATCAGGGGCTGGGGAGGGTTCAGCAGGGGCTGTTGTGGGTTCTTCTGGAGGAGGAACGGGTGGCTGGGTGGCAGCGGGCAATGCTTCAGTGCCAGTGGGCTTAGGCCCAGTGTCCTTGGTAGCTTCCGAGCGCGGGGATGGGACACTCTCGGTATCAGAGCTGTTGTTGACAGCAGCTACATGCAGGGCAAGAGGAAAGGAGGACATAAGCTACTCAGGGGATGAACAGCCCCCCAGCTCCTATACCTCTGGGTAAGCCTTGTCCAGCCCTCACCAGTCCCTGTAACTTTGGCTTCTCTTCCCTGCTGCCCACAGACTGGCCAACCCCAACCCCTAGACTTCCCCAAGTAGCCAGTGCGCTTACAGGGCCAATCCAAGAACAGCCTCAAGACAGGCCTTCCTCTGAGGTCTGCAGCTATGGTCTGGGCGCCACTCAGCTCGATGCCCAACTTTTGGTACTCCCATGGGAAGCTCAGGGCTTCGCTCAAGCTTCACTTTCCCTATCCACAGAATGGGGAACCAAACCTCCGAGGAGGCTGAGCAGGAGGGTGACTGTTGGGGGGGACCACAAGTGTATTATAATATGGCCGACAATACAGCTCGATACAAGGCCATTGCATCGGAGCACGCCCTGAAGGAGCGTGTCTGCTGCTCCAGCTCCCATTTGTTTAAGGCTGAGTGTGTGTGTGTGTGTGTGCGTGCGCGCGCGCGCGCGTGCGTGTGCACGAACATATTAAGTCTCTAGTCCCTCCATTTTCTGCAAACTAGACACCTGGAAACAAGGCTGAGGACATGGAAAAGGGAAGGGTCCCAAAGAGAAGAAAGACAGGCAGAGCATGCTGTCCACGGACACAACAGGGAACAGAAACTTTGTAGAGGGGGAAAAAAAAAACAAAAAACAAAAAAAACAAAAACAGAAGAAGCAGCACACAGCAAGGACCAGGGATGGGGATCTAAGATCTTGGATACCCCACTATGGCCCTGGGCCACCAGCTCAGCCAAAAGCCACTTTCTTACCTGGGCCACTGCATTCTCCGACTCTGGGAACCTCATTCCCAGAGGCCTGCGAGGCTGGAAGGAAATTAGAGAGGCGTTAGAACTGGGGCGGTACAGTGATTCGACAAGGGCAGGGGACCCGAGACAGCTTCCACTGCTCCCAAGGGAGGCCCTGGCCACCCACAGCCAAAGTGTGTCGCTCCTGCCACCCCGCCTGCCACCAGGCAAGGCCGAGGTGCGTCCAGGATCAACAGAGCTGTGTATGAGTGCCAGGGCTACAAACCAATGTGCCTTCCAACCTTGTCAATCAGTCCCCAGCCTCCCTGGCTTCTCAGTTCCCTTGGAGCCCAGAGCAGGACATCTCTCCCAGAACAGGTATTGGTAACACCAGCAGGGAGCTGGCCGTGAGCACACAGGACATGTGACCCTCAGAGACCTCAAGACCAGGGTATTATTCATGAAGGATGGTGACAGGTGAGGAAATCAAGTAGCCACAAAGGGGGCCACGACCTCTGGTCTTCCTCTTTGCAGCCCAACAACAGGACATAGGAGGCCGAAGCTACTGGTCCTGTGAACAAGCGGGCAATCCTCCATCTCAGGTGTTGGTGCCTACAACTCGCTGTCAGTTATGTCTATACCAGAAGCCCCCAGAGTCATGCAGGGACTGTGACAACTGTGACTGGTCCCCACCTTAAGCACTAGGAAGGAATGGCTAGAGGCCCAGTTCTGGACTGAGACATTCCATCAGGTACCCAGGATGTGTACCAGGCACGTTCACAGAGCCTGGACGTAGCAGGCACTTTACAGACCCAGACATCAAGTAATATAGGAAGACCACCAGGCCCCTTCCCCTGGATGCCAAAGAGACACAGAGTACAGGGCTATGACAAAGCTGTCAAATCAGGTCTTAGGGACCTCCTCAGTCACTCCTCAGCATGTGGTGACAGAGACAAGGCTATATGGGTGCCATGACTGTTACCACACAAGGAAATCCTAGGTCAAGTGGCCCCTAGCCTGGACCTCAGCCTTTCTAGCCCATTGCTCTTGGGTGTGAATGGTTAGCCGCCTCAGGAATCCCCAGGTGGTGAGAGGCCTCAGGCATCCTGGCCCCTCACCGTCCCTGCTCCTAAGCAGATGTGTAAGCCACCCCCCTTCCCCATAGCTACGGCTCAGTCACCCCTCACTCTGTGGGCAGCTCTGTCTCCACCACTTCCCCTCCCTGCTATGTCCACCTTGCTCATGGGGGCGGCTGGGAAGGTGTTCAACAAAGAGGTTTGACACCAACAGGCCAGGGCCCAGCCTAGGATGCTCAGAGGACTCATGGCTTGGCCTCCCGAGGTCATGCCGGGCGGACAGAGAAAGCATGTGAACTGTGGGGAGCTGGAGCCAGAAGTCTCCAGTCTAGTCAGGGCTCCTCTGTGCTCATCCCTAGGCCTGGCCTGGGGAACCAAGGGATGCCTAGAAGACACAGAACAGAGTGTGTGTGTGTGTGTGTGTATGTGTGTTCACTCCCCCCACCCCACCCCCGAGGACAGTGACCTCACCTTCTGCCTCCTCCGCCAGCTCTTCCTCATTGGCACTTGCGCCTGACGCTTCCATCTCTTCATCCTCAGCAGCAGGTGGGAAGGCCGTCTCCTCACTTGCCGCAGCTGGGGTCTTCTTTTTCTTTCTCCGTGCATTCCTCTCCTTCTCCTGGGACAGGACAGTAGCAGCGGTCAAGGCCGGGGATGCCCTAGGTCTGAGGCCCAGTCACAGCTTCGAGGGTAGTGAGCTTGGCCGTATGGATGTGCGGGCAACCTTCCCACTCAGCCCACGGCAGTGGCCTGGAAGGCCAGGGCTATTTTTACCACAGAGGCTTCGTAGTGCCATGTGTCCCAGTGGGACCCTGGGTACAGGATGGGCCCAGGTTATAGTGTCACAGTGCACACTTGGGGCACTGTTGGATGGAGGTGCTGTGGATATAGACTCAGGGGAGCACAACATGGCCTAAAGTTAGGACTCAGAGGGTTGGCCGGGGGCCACAGTGGGATCAAACGGGAACAGAAAAGGAACAGGACCAAGCCAGCAGGGTGGGTGATCAGGACTCTACAGGAGGGCGACACTGGAGTCCAGGTCTGAGTATAGAGGGGGCATCCAAGCAAGGCTCTGGGTGAGAGAGGCTTATGTGCAAAGGCCCTGGGGGTGTGGATGAGCCATACTGTAGTCTTGCTTTTCCCTCAAACCACCTCTGCTCCTCACACTCAGGGCCCACCTTCACCCTCCCGGCATAGGAGCCTTCAAAATCCCCTCCAGGCTGGACTTCCGTGTCTCTCTACTGAGCTGGGTTGCAGCCCAGAGCAGCTGAAGCTTCCCTCAGCTTGGAATGTGAAATGGCAGAGTCAGGACACACACTGGTCTAGAAACGACCAGGGCCCCCTCCCCTTGGCACGCAGGGCTTTCTGGACCTAGCACAGGGTAAGCCTGGTCTAGTATGAGGGACAGGCGGTGGTGGGTGGAGACACACTGCAACCGAGGATCTTTTCCTGGGGAAGGTGGAAGACAGCAAACGGGGAGTCGTAGGTCAGAAAAAAACCACCAAGGTCAGAAGCTGGTGACAGATCATAGTTCTGCTATACCTGACTGGTGACATTCTGTCCTGGAAACATAGCATGACCATGCTCTGAGGCCTGCTATGTCCATTGTCACACAGCCCCTAAGCTACAGATGTGCCATCCCTGGGACAAGCCAGGATCCTCGGACACAGGGATAAAAGGGAAATACATGCCTGCCGTCCATCACTGTCCCTTATTGCGGACGCTAGGCCACAGGCTTGTTCTAAGTATACACAGACCTTGTGGACATTTGCTTTGCCACCTGCGCCCACACAGGGCCTGGTCTTGGCACCTCCCAGGAGGCCCAGGCTCCAGTCTGCGGGTGCGGGGATGCTGTGGCGTGTGGCTGGGGATCCCCTTCCTTCGTCTATCTTTAGCAACAGGAACTAGGCAGCAGGTTGCAGGGACACTCACAGGAAATGGGAGCCCATCAGCCCGGCAGAGCCACGGACAGGCGATACAGCACACCCCTGTGACTCCAGAGTCTATGGGAAATCCAGCCACAGCCACAGCCCCAGCACCAGAGGGCTGGTAGGCATGTGTAATCGGGTGTTCTGGAGATACAAACTCAAAATTTCAGATGGCATTTACAAAGCACCTGCTGCACACCGGGAATCTGCAAGGTGTCAAGTCACATGTACACACAGTTACCCTGCCGTAAACGGCCACCACGCCAGGCAGCCCCTGACGCTTGAAATCAGCTCCAGATCACACTGGCCCTGCCATTCTGCATAGTCTAAGTCTGCTTCTCTCGGCCCCACGCCAGCCCCAGGGACTTTACACAGCCTGTTCCTTCCCTGCCTGAACACCCTTCCCCCAGATAGCGAATACTCACTTCCTCCAACGTCATCTCCCCAGAGGCCCTCTCTGATTTCCCTGAAGGATTAACCAATGCCCTGCAAACCCTCACTCTCTCTGCATCTGTGTCTCGGCAACTGTGGGCCACATGCTGCAAGTTACGTGTGTGTTACAGCAGCTCCTGCCGAGACCTACTCCCCGTCAACTGGGACCTTTGCCTGCTCTAACTGCCTCCTTCCGACACCTGGAGTAGAGCTACGTGCACTCTGTAACCATGTCACTACACAAAGGAGCCTCAGAGCCGACGACACTGACTCAGAGAGACAAAGCTCAGAGTCAAGGAGGCCTGCCTGCTAGAGTTCAAGTACATCCCCGCCTGGAGCGTCTCCCAGCAGCCACAGAGAGAAGCAGCAGAAGGAAGCAAGGCCAGCAGGGCCAGCGCCCAGATGACACACCGAGCAACCTGGAGGCCGAGCCCTGAGGGCCGGGACACAGACAGAAGGGCAGCCTTCGGCCACACAGAGGGGGAGGGAGACCTCAGAGAGGACAAGGCTGCCAAATGTTACATAACCTGCGACACGCGGGCTCCGCCCAAGCTCCTGTTTCCTGATGAGTTTCCAGCAGCCATGTGCAGGCCAGGCCTGGGATGAGCAGGAGGGACACCCACTGACCTCCTGCCTTCCTTGCTCCCTGGGTGGCCGAGGGTGGCATGCTTTCCTCCTCTCAGACGGGGCCAGGCCAGCAGCCAAAGGCCTTAGCCACTGCTTCAGGACTCAGAGGACAGAAGCGACCCTCTTGTTCTTGTAATTTTCTTTTTGAGACACGGTCCTGTAGCCTAGGCTGGCCCTGAAATCCTGATCCTCCTGCCTCAGTCTCCTCAGTGCCATGAGCCACGAGGCCCAGCTTGACCTCCTCTCTTTCTAGGGGCGTCCAGAGTGGGTGGGAACAGCCAGCCAGGCCAGGGGCTTCTACAAAGGCCAGCTCACACATTCCCACAACAGGGTGCTCACTCTATACTTGGGGGGTGGGGGTGGGGTATCCGCCTCTGCTTACTGCTCTGTGATCCTTAGGACCAGCCTGCTCTTGAGGTTGCCTGGGGAGAGAATCAGCCCACCTCCCCTACAGGTGGAGTCAGAGCAGCCACCTCAATGACAAAGCTAAGAACAGGGCGAAGACCCCCTTCCAGGGCAGCCTGGCTCCACCCCACTCAGACCAGAGTCACCTTCTCAGCTCAGAAGCTCACCTTGATTCCCCACATCCCACCATGGAAGTAGCAAGCTCCTGAGGAACCTCCAGCCACACCTCTGACCAGCAGACAGGGACTCTGCCCTACTCAGTGACCTGGGCCAGACGCTGGACTTCCCACAGTGGAAGGCACTGGCTCCCCATAGGCTCCTGAAGCAGGTGGGAACTGAGGCCCAGAGGCCAAGCTGTGTGCCCTGAACACAAGCCGCAGGGCAGCAGAGTCAGAGCACACACCCACCAGGCCAGAGCCCTCTGTACTTTGGGGCGATTCCATGCATGCAGGCTTAGATCCATCTCTCACCGGGGACAGACATACCACACCCTGAAGACCCTGAGCCCTCTAGCATCAGCGCCTTGTGGCTTTAGCTGGTGGGGAGCTGGTGAACTGCCTCATGTCCCCTTCCAAGTACTGCCCTGGCACTTGGGAGGAACGCACCCTCCCCCAGAGACCTTGGAGGCAGTTGTTTTATCCTTTCCATTTCACAGGCAGAGAAACTGAGGCACAGAGAGGACAAGACTCTTGGCTAAAGCCACACAGCCTGTAAGTGGCACAACCTAGATTCACAGACACAGACTGACTGACAGACAGACAGATGGACACACACACACATAGCCCTTGGTAATTGCTGCATAGTGATTGCAAGGACTTCAGGTACCTAGAGGACATGGGGTAGGTAGCTATGATGTAGGTGACAGGGATGTCAGAAAGAGTAAGCAGCCCCACAGAGTGCCTCCCATTCACGGGCACCTCTTTTCTGACTCACGGGACCACCTGCATTTCTGTCCACTGTCATCACCTCCTCTACCCACCTTCTAGCTGAAGAAATGGCTCACTAGGGAGAAACTGGTCAGGTCATATGGGTGCTCAAACCACAAGCTCCGCCCTGGCCCTCTTCCTAGCTGACTGTGTACTCGGGTCCACTGGGGGTCCTTGAGAGCAGAGGGTACAGTCCCCTGTAGACACGGAGAGCTGGAAAATCATATGCTCAGGGGAACACGGGCTGTAAGCAATGGCACGAGGGTGGCCTGAGGAGGGTGCCCCTGGATTCTGCATGGACTTGAGCCGAGCCCTAACAGAACGATGCTGTCTCTGGCCTGCTCTCCCATGCCGTGCATTGCTGTGCTCCCTGCTCTGGACCTCGGTAGGCTGCAGGCAAGAGCAACACATCTTCAGCTGCACAGGAACCCACACAACTTTAAACCCAGGGAAGGACGGACCACAAGGTGTCCTCCCAAGCCTCAGACCACGGCGGGAGGGGGGGCAGAGTTACTCAGCTCTGAGTTCACATACTCACTTAGGTGGCTAAAGAGCTTCCCTGAGCCTCACTTTCCCCAGCCCTAAAAATGGTGATGACGTCAAGCATGTACAAGATGGGGGAGGGGGGATCATGAGAAGGTGGTGCAGTAGCTCCAATGACTCTCCTGGCCATGGGTGCAACAGAGGCCCTGCTTGGAGATACCCACAGCTTTCAGTGTGGGATGTGTCTTCCTCCAGCCTCTGTCTTTTGTGACCCTCATTCCCTGTCACCATAGCCCTGCTGTTCCAAAGGCAGCCAGACTGCTCACTCGGGGCCCATTGCCTCTGGGTGTCCAATCCAGGGAACTGAGGGTGACAGTGGAATCTGGGCTCACTCAAGGCCAAGCCCACCCATAGTTCCCCATGTGGGTGCCAGGCATCCAGGGGCCACATGAGGGAGGCTGTGGGAAGCCTGGCTGTCCCCAGTCCCCAGGGGGCTCAGCCCACGAGTTCTGGCCAGACTCACCATCTTTAGCTTGTGCTGCTGAAGGATTTCGTCCAGGTTCTGCCTCTTCTTGTAGTTGAAGTAGAAGTTCTTACACTGGGACACCGTTTTGGAGCCCACCATGCGGGCGATGGCTGACCAGTTCCTCCCATGTTCCAGGAGGCCTGCAGGTGGAGGGCAGGTGACGGTTTACTACAGTCCAAGACCAAGGGGCACAGCCAGGGACCAGGAAACAAATGGTGACAGGCAAGGCCCCAAGCAAGGCCACAGTTAAGATTCTAGGGGGCAGAAGACAGCCTCCCCCCATCCGTCCCTCCCCAGTTGGGCGGGAGCTGTGGTGACCCAGCTCTGACACTGCACAGCTGCAGCGAGGCCTCAGGAGAGCGAGCCTGCTTTCCGGTCTCACCAAAGGTGAAGGGAGAAGAGCTCTGGAAGAGCAGAGGTCGGAGCAGGGCCAAGCTGGGGAAGGGAACAGGGTAAGCTTGGGCCCTCAGACCTCAAGAGCCGCACCAGACTCAGGGCCACTGGGCACTCAGCAGCCACCAACAGATCTGTCTCAAGACATAGACCTCACCGCTCACAAGCTCTGAGGCCACAAACCCTGGGCTAGCATAGAAGGCTATGGAGCGCTCTATTCACACCTCACCAACCTTCGATCCCCCCAACCCCCCACCCCGCTCCCTTAAAGCCAAAGCTGGCCACTTTCCCATAGCGGCAACAGAACCTGCCGCTGGGGATGGAGGTTAGGAGGCCGGAGGACAGTGCCGGACTCCAAGCTTCAAAGCCACACGTGACAACACTAAGTCCCATTTCCTATCACCCAGCCTCCCATCACTTTCCTCTACACAAGTCAAAGCAGAACAAGAGGCTTAACTATGACTTGCAGGGGGCAGGAGGGGGAGGGAAGGGAAGGGGGACCCACCCCCTCATTCAAACCCCAGTTGGTGGCTTACTACAAACAAAGGAAACAATAAAACCCCTGCACACCAGTAAGTGACCCCATAGGTCTACTCGCTTTGCATCTATCTTGCCCCTCCCCCACACCCTGGTAAAGACTGAAATTCTTGAACATTTCCCACCCACCTCAACCAGCCCAGAAGTGGGCCCGGAGCCTCACCTTCCCACTTTGGGGGGTGGGGGGGAAAGAAGACACAGGGGACATGGTGAGGGGGGAGGTGCAGGCCACCTGCTGGCCTCCAGTGACCACAAGAGCCACGTGGCTCCAGAGCTGCTTCTCAGGGATCCTCAAGGACAGGAGGCAGGGAGGGCCAGGGCTCAGGATCAAGTGTAACTCAGCCCCTGACCTTTTCCTCCACCCGCGCCAGCAGCAGCTGCCACTTCCAGAACCTGGCGGCTGGGGCTGCGTTTATTTATATTACCCGAGTGTAGTCCAAGAGGGCCCAGCAAACACGTCAGGCAGAGGGATTGCAGGCCCCGGAACCCCAGGGCAGGTCTCCATTTGGAGCTGTTGGGGGTGGGGTGCCTGAGGAGTTGGGGGGAGGGAATGGCCCGACCCCGGGGAGCAGACATTTCCAAATTCAGTTAAGTCAACGAGGAGTTCGAACAGCTGGGTCTCCCAACTAACTTAGCCTATAGAGGCAAGGAACTGGCAGGGTGGGGGATGACACTCAGCTGTTGCTGAACACGTGTGGTCACGGAAGAGCGCTGGGCAGAGCTGTGGGGGGAGCCCTTCCCAGAGTGTGCCACACAGCCCTGGGGAGACGCGAGCTTCCTCCACTCTCGTTCTAGGAACCTTACACTGGGGTGCTGTGCACAGGAGCACTTCACACCCCATGTTGTAGAGACAGCCCAGCTGCCCTGTCCAACCCGGGGAGCCCCCCTGCGAATGCCCCGGCCGAGCTTGGAGCCCAGACTAAGTACAGCCTCCTTCCAGGGGATCTTGGCTGCACCCTAGAAAGACAAGAAGGAGCGCCAGGGAAAGGGGAGCCATGGCCACGGGTCCAAAATTCCAAGTCCCCACCATCACCACATGCGCAGCCGAAATTTCCTGTAGCCCCATCAAAGTCCCTGTCACCAGCCAACCCCACCCTCCAGCCCCCATCCCCAGCTGGGGACCACTCACATCCTCTCATCTGCGTCTCCCCCTCGGCCAAGTTTTCCGGAAACATCCGGCTGGAAGGATGCTCCGGGAGCGGAGCAGTGATTAGGAGGCTGTGGCCGCAAGGCTCCTCAGGGCTTCTTGCTGGTATCCCCTGGTTCTATCTCTGTTCACATCCTCAGGAGCCGTGAGGGCAAAAGCAGGCACTGGGGGTGGGCCCAGGACTCCTCCAGCCGCTGCTACCAGCTGCCCCAGAGAGCAGAGCAGTGCCCTTCCTGCTTGGGAGGGGAGCGAGGGCTACGGCGGCAGCGGGAAGTTGTCAGTTCTGTGTGCTGGGTTTCTCTGTGCCAGGCGTCACCAGTGCGCACGCGGCGTCCGCAGATCTTCCAGGCACCAGTGTCTCAGGGAGGACACTTGGGGAGGGTGCTGGCCCAGAGCCCCCAGACCCACCAAGCCACACGGAATCCAAAAGCCCCAGGCAGGATAGTACCAGGCAGCTGTGTCCCTAAACGGCTGGGCTGTGGGACCCAGGGCTCCGCGCAGCTCTTCTTGCTGCCTGACCCAACGAGCCGCGTCAGGACTGAATGTGACCTCCAGACGCGGCGGGCGGGGGCGGGCGGGGGCCGGGCACAAGCCCAGGTTCGGCTGGGCGGGCCAACTGGCACAGGCTCCCTCCCTCTCTCCCCATCCGTGGCAGCGTCAGCAGCGGTAAGAACAGACTGAGGGATCCAGAAAAACAGAGCTCCCACCCCCGGCAGGCAGGGAGCAAGCAGCCTCTTCCGCCCGCCCGCCAGCCAGCCCTCCCGCCAGCCAGCCGGTTCCACCTGCGGTCGCACCCCCCTTCCTCGCAGGCCCCCAAAGCCTGGCCCAGTCAGCCTCCTGGAGGGCTGTGGGTGGCCAAGGCTTTCTACGGGGGTGGAGGGTGGGGAACTTAGGATGTACTTATGAGTACTCTGACACCACAACCATTTGTGGTGGTGGTGGTGGGGGGGGCTGGGACTCCCAGAGGTCTGGGGACCCTGGCTACCTAATACATCCTCTATTCTCTGAGAGCACCTGCTGCGAGGTCCCAAGGGCTCCCGGGAGGCCAAGACAACTAAACTGCCTCCTAGAGCAGCATCCGGTCAGGCTGACTGGAGCCCAGAGGACACGGACAGACAGACTGGAGTGTCCCTGTATGCCCGGCCAGCTGGCGGAGAGATCCCGATTCCAACAATGCTGAGAATACAGAATTCGTTCCTACAGAATCCCACTGTGCTCCACAGGGAACTCCAAAGGGGGCCGATGTGAGCATATCCCCTGAGAAAATGTCTGGGTGCTCCTGAAGGAAACCCCAAAGCTCCTAAGAGCTACAGAGCTACAGAGAACAGTTAGCTCTACAGCTCCCAACCCTGAGAAGGCCCCAGGACATTTGCATCTGCCTGGGAAGCATTTTGAGCCCTGCCTCTGGCCCTGGGGATGGGTGGATAGGGAGTTGGGGTGGCATCTCATCTCCATAGCATCTACTCCCTGAGATCAGCTCTTCGCTGCAGCCATCTGGGACTGCTATCCTTCCATACTGATGGGTGCTTGGGCTGCAAATGTCTTTCAAAAAGGAACGAAGCTCTAGACACCTGACTGTCCGAGGCTGGGAGCCATGAAGGTCCCACGAGTGTCTGTCCTGGAAGTGTTAGGCCCATGTGCTCGGTGCAATGGTTTTGCCAGCCTGCCTTGCGGTCTTGGGTTCTCCCACCCCACTAATTTCTAAGGAAGGAATTTCAGAGGCAGCTACTTAGGAAGTGAAATTGGCCAAGACAGGAAGTCAAGGCAGGGGGCCTGAGTCAGGGCCTGAAGCTGGCAGAGAGCTGAAGGAGCCCAGTAGCCACGGAGGGGAGGGAGAAAGGTGACCCTTTCTCATGTGCTACCTGGGACCCATGAAACGCTCCAGTGGCTCGGCGGCTGTGATTGTTCCAGCCCCATCCCCTCCACAGGGTCTGAGCTCAGCAAATGTGTAACCTCTGAGACACAACATGGCAGGATTGGCTCTCCCAGGCTGGGGCTCCCAGATCCTCCCAGGAAGAAGCTTAGGAGGGTCCCCGCCCCAAGCTCTACCACCACAGCAGCTTCCTTAGACTTGCAAAAGAAGACCTTCCCAGAGCAAGAAGTCAGAGAGATGTGCACTCCCTGTCCTGAGGCCTCTCATCACATCCTCCTTCCTTGAGCCTGCTCTGGAGTCAAGGGATGGATGTGTGCTCCTTGAGCACCAGCACCAGAGGCCCAGAGACCTTCAGTATGCCATGTGGGGCACCGGGAGCCCTGTGGGGGCATCTGTGATGACCTCACCCTTGAACCTGCCCTGGCCGCCTTCCCGCTCCACACTTCAGACCTCAGCACTAGTACTTGTCAATCACTGGTACAATGGAGGTACTCCAGTCAGACAAAGCCGTCAGGGCTCGACCTAAGGCCAGCTGCCCACCTACAGAGCAGAGTCAGAATGTCCTGTCCCCCAGAGCCTTGGCTGGTCACTGAGCCATACTCAACTATGCCACTTTCTCATGGACAAAGCAGAAACACGGTGTGCGTGGAAACTGGGGTCACAAGGGTCATTCACTACCTGTCCCGCCCTAGCAAAGAGTGGGATGCTGGCCCAGAGGGAGGGAAGGCGGGAGCCGACAACATCTCCTTTAGGGCACTGATTAGGGACAAGAGTCCAGATCCTGACCCATGTCTGGCCATACCTCAATCCATACAGAAGCTCTGCTTTCTCCCTGGGAATCATCACAACACAAGAGGCCAAAACCCTCCAGACACTCCACCAGGGCCATCTCCATCCTGCCTACAGGGATCTCCAAGCCCTCTGGTCATCTCCTCACTTAGACGGAGTCTGGCGTTCATGGCCCCTGAACTCGCGCAGTGGCCACACTAACTTGGCCAGCCTACTTCACTGCTGTGCACCAGGGCCCCCTGCGAGGCACACGGTGCGCTCTTGGAAAGGTCAGCCTGGCCTGCAATGGGGACAGCATGAACTCTGACAGAACAGTGGCTGAGTCTCCCCACCAGGCCTAGGTACTCAACCATGAGAAGGATGAGACCAGACCACAAGCACTGGAGGGCAGGGCTCTCAAGGGAGGGTGTGTCTACTGAGCAGAGCTGGCACAGGACACTCCATTGCCTGCCCTGGAGACAGCATCCAATGACCCTGGTCAAGACACTGCCCTCCAACCACTGGATATGTCCAGGGTCAGAATTCCTTAGGGGCCAGGCTAACCCCTCTGAGGAAACTTGAGGCTTTAGGCCCAGCCATACAGCCCCCAAGCCTGTAGTCTTGGTCCTAAGGTAGGCAGGGGCCAGGTCCCTGGATATAGCCAGTTCCTAAGGAGGCAGCTTCCAGCTTAGGCTCAGGCCCCACCCAAGATGAGCCCAGGAAAGTAGCCCTGCCCCCTAAGCATATACACACCACACACAGAGAGAGATCGTGGGCCTCAGGCAGCCAGAATCCAAGTCCAGGTCCCTTCCGTCCCTTTGAAACCTTTGTCACCAATGCCACCATGGTCTCTCTACTTCTGCCTCTTACACCCGCACTGTCTAGGTTCCTAGTGTCTCACTTGAGTGCACTGTCCCTGACACAGGGCTATCTGCCCCACTGGTTGCCCTTCCTTCTTTCATTACTTAAAGCAGTAGCCTAGAGCCCAACCTGATTTAATCCTCTAAATCCTGTTTTGCAACTCAAGAGCCTGGGTTCCAATCCCAGACCCCCCACATCACAGCTCTGCAACCTTGGGTAGCTCATTCAACATCTCTGAGGTCTCTTTCCTTACCAGCATAATAGCAGTAGCCTCAAAGCAGGGTGGAGGTAATGCATCTGCCTCCACAGTAAGCTCGCTTCACTTGTGGCTGGGCAGTATCTTGGCAGGTCATGCCCCTGCATCCCACCCCTCATGACACAGGCGGGGATCATAGGTACCCACTCAAGGCAGAGTCCAGAGGAAGCAGAGTTGGGACTCCAGTCCAGGCTGTGAGCTGCCCTGCAGTCTGCACCTGAGTATCCACTGTATACCAAGTACTGCAAACATTTGGTGCCTACCCAGATGATGAACCTGGAAGGCAGACTTCCCTGCTCTTTCTAGAGAGCAAATGAAAATGAGGCCGAAACGGCGAGATAGTCAGACCAGGAGCTGTAGAGGTGACGGGCTGGGGCCAGGTACCAAAATGCCTAAGGCATCCGGTCTTCAAGGTCGGCCGTGGACTAATTATTGACTATGGATCAAAAAGCCACTTGGGTATCGATGAGCTGGACAGTATTTCCAACCCAAGTTTTATGTCCACCCAGAAGTTATGCACAGGGACAGACCGTTCAAGGGACCAGAATGGTCATTCCGCTACGGCAGGCCAACTAAGAAGGAATCTGTGGCTAGGTGTGGTGGGACATGCCTTAAATCGCAGCACTCAGTTGGCAGAGGCAGACACCTCTTCAAGTTCAAGGCTACAAAGAGAGCCTGTCTAAAGGAAAGAAGGGAGGGAGGGAAGGAGGGGGGAAAAGGGAAACCCTGATAAATGGGGGGAGGGCGGCAAGGTCATGACAGGAAGGAGGCCAGCAGCATGAGACCACCACCTGAGGTAGGATGTAGGTGCAGAACTGTCCCTCGAGCCTTAGAAGGAACGTGGCCCTGCCCACACTTCAACTTTGCACCTCTAGTTTCCTGAGCATGGGAGAGAAGAATTTCCTATTGTGCTGAAGCCAGTGACTAGTTACACAGATGAAGAAAGTGACTGGTCTAGACCACACACACAGGAAATCCAGCTAGGTTTCTCTGGGGGCTGGATTCGTCTGCAGCTGTCCTTCACAGCTGGGCCACAGAGGATGCTCCGGTGGCTCTGGAGACACCTGGTTGCTTACCTGCCTGGGTTCCCTGAGGGCCTGGTTCTCTGTGGGCTCCTACTCCACACTGGGCCAAGGATGGGTGGGTACCATCTGCCTGGGACACAGCTTGGCTAGGGTCATTTTCCTCTCTGAGTTGTCAGCACTCTCTCGGCAGGGTGCTCTGGAACATTCTTAGCCTCTCACCCCCACAGGCTGTGGAAAAGGAGCTACCACGGGCTGTGCGCACCTGCCTCCCCGCCCCCGCCTCCGGAACAGCCATCAGCAGCCACTGCAAGCAGGCATAATTGTCCAGATTGCTGTAATTCACAGCAGCAGCCCGCGCCGGCGCTCACGGCGCTATTTCAAATGTCACTGAGCAGGGCCGGTGCACACGGGCCCCAGGATCAGTGGGGACAAGCTCCCAGCCATCCCTATAGGCCCTAACCTTGAGACAGTGGCATCAGGGCGCTCCATCCCAACTGGTGAGTCATCCCACCCCCTCCCACCTCCTGATCTGTCCTTCCAAAAGGGAGAGACCGCAGCCTCCTGGTGTCGGGCAACAGCTATGGGCTGGTGACGGCAGGAAGATGCTTGAGGGACTGCAAGAGCTTTGGGTGTGGGGAAAGATGGGCACTTGCCATGAGCACTTTGCGGGCGGTATGCTGAGACCCCAGGACCCACATGTGGATAAAAGCAAAGGGGTCACATGATCTCCACAGAAGCATGCAGAGCCCCAGGCAGGAATAACCCACCACTCTGTCACCAGGTAAGCCCACAAGCAAAGTATGTGTATACTGGAGGGGGGGATGGAGGGGTCCCACTTCATGTAGCTCTGCAGCCCTCATAGGTACATGAGCAACCCTGCAAACAGCGCTAAGGGAGTGAGTGCAGCCAGGCGTAAGGACTACAGCGGCAGCAGGCATCATTCCTGTAAGTGTCAGGGCAGAATGACTTCTAACCACAGACCGGAAGTCCATTAGTGCTGCCTCGCCCTCGGACTGATGGGCAGGAGGGACCGATAATGGGTACGGGATTTCCATCTAGGGCGTAGAGGCTTGTAGCATAGCACTGTGGGTAAACGTAGGTGGACGTGGTTTTGGGGTTTTTGTTTGTTTGAGACAGGGTCTCAGGTAGCCCATGCTGGCTTCCCACCTGCTATGACACATGACACTGTTCTCATTGTGACACTGAACTCATGATCCCCCTGCCTCTGCCTTCCAAGAGCTGAGATTACAAGCATGTCCCACGATGTCCAGGTTAATAGACAACTTTTCAGTGGTCAAGTCTGTTATGCATACTTTGTGGAGATTAAACCATGAGAATCAGACCATTAAAGACTTTTTAGAATTCATACCACAAACCACAACGTAGACACACACAAAAAAGAACAACACAGCCCCTCTGGGGTGACGGCACACTGCACCCAGCCGGCTGGAGATACAATCTCAGAACCCTGTGAACGGAAATCTCTATGTCCTTTCTGAGCGATGGCCCAGCTCCCTGGCTAAGCTCACTCTTGGGTGAAAGAGGACACAGGCCAGAAAGACACATGTCCAGATGGAGAACAAGGAGCACTTAAAGGATCCTCCAGGCTGGTGGCTGCTCTCAGGTGGTATGGGACACTCCTGCTAGGTGCATTAGACCCTCAGGAAACTCCATGAGAGTGGGGAGGAGCAGGTCTCAGGACCAGAGCCACAGGTGGCAGCGGCTGCGGCTGCGGCGGTGACAGGTGTGTTAGAACTCCTAATAAAAGCCACTGGTTCCCACCATTCACACCACAGCCTGGACATAGCAGCCACAGCCGAGGAGCAGGGGCAGGGCCTGAAAGGAGTATGAAGGATGGAAGCCAAGAGGACTGGGCTGGCTCCTGATCCCCAGGGTATCACCTCTGGAGCTATGGGAGGCCTTCAGCCTAGACTCCTCCTTGTCCATGATAGGGAGCAGAAATGGGAGCTACCTCTCAGACAAGGGTCAGGTGACAACTAAGGCAGGAGCCACCTGCAGTGCCACACTTAGGAGAGTAGGTGGCTCTGTGTCTCTAAGGGATATGGGGGAAGCAGGGACAGACGTTCAGAGTTGCTAGCTCCTGGACTTTCAGTGAAAGCCACCCGCTCTAAGAATCTTAATGCCTGGCTTCAATTCCTTGTAGCCATCCTGGCCCTCCCATCTTAGGGATGGGTAAATGGAGGCTCAGAAAGCGGTCACCAAGCTGCAAAGTGAACACCTCAGGCATAATGAATGTGGTTTCAAGGGAGGTTATGATAATATCACCAGGGCAAGGATACTAGGGCCCCAGGAGGTGACCCCTCAAAGGTCAGGGCCCAGAGAGGTACTGGGGTAGAAGTCCTGTCTAGCTAGCAGGGTGTGGCAGAGAGATGTCAACCTTAGAGGAAGTGATGGCCTAAACTTTTGTCATGTCATGTTACAAGGTCACCAACAGCCAGTAACTCCCTGATTTTAAAAAGTCAGTTTTGGCCTTGTGATGTAGACAACTATTATGACTGTTGCCAGGTCTACTGTGGAACACACCACCAACACCTAGGCACAAATTCCAAATGTTTGCAAAGCACAAACTCGCACCCAGCACGGGGACCTCTGAGATCCCACCTAAGAGCCGCACACTGGTGTGAAGACAGGAAGCCTTCCAAGTGCCACTGACGCTGTGGCCAGCCTTGATGGCCAGGGAACCGTGACTCTACCAAGCATCCTGGCCACTGTCTTTGGGGACCAATGGAGCTAGCTACTCACATACTCAATCTGCAGGCTCCTGAGCCATCCTGACTTCAGGTACAGGCCACTGCTTGAGAAAGAGAGCCATTCTAAGGCAGGTTCAACCAAGGCTCTAAAGAGCCCCTGCATCTTGGCCAGATGCACCAGCAGCTTTGCAAGACAGGCATCCCAGTGCCTGGGACAAACAAACTCAGGCATACTGCATACCATCACAGCGCCTTACCTTTCTTTGCCGTCTCCATCTCTTCCTCAGTCCAGCGAGAACTCTCGTTCATCTCCATGGAAGCTGCAAAGAAGATGGGCATTGGTAGGCACTCCACAGGATCCTTTCCCTACAGTCTGTCTACTCTGAGCCAGCCACCCCGACCACAGTGCCTGATGCTCACGCTAGGAGCCAGGCGCTGTGTACAGCAACCTCCTCCACAACACACACACACACACACACACACACACACACACACAATTCTCTCACAGGTAGCCCCATAGCCCACTATGCTGGGAGGATCTGATACCTCCATTCGCAGACAAGGAAACAGGTGGCTAGGGACTGGGTCCTGACACCTGTTTCTCTTTGCACTTTGCTAGGAAGGGGTGGCCCACCTGGGGACATGGTCACAAGTGTAAAGACTTGTACCATGGGCAGGGACTACAAGTGGGCAGGGACCTCACTGTGCAGAGGAGGCCATTTCATACCTCCTCAGATATTACCCTCTAGGTTAGTGGTTTTCAACCTGTGGGTTGTGTGTGACCCCCACGGGCGCTGCATATCAGATATTTGTATTACGATTGGTAACAGTAGCAAAATTAGTTATTATCAATGAAATAACATTAAGGTTAGGGGAGAGGGTGGCTCGCCACAACACGAGGAGCTGTATTAAAGGGCTGAGGCATGAGGAAGGTTGAGAACCACTGTTCTAAATGCTCACAGCCTGGCTCCTACCATGACCATCAAAATGGCTTCTCCAATGGCTCCTCACGGCTCATGAGTGACGTCACCGTGGCTAGGCTTCCTTTTGTGCTAGTGACTGTTACAGTCTTCCAAGCTTGTCCAAGGACAACAAGGCCCTTCAGAAGGGACACAGCCAGGCACAGGTTGGGCAGAGGCAGCCTTGTTTGGATGACATACCACACTGCTCCCCAGGTGGCCCGCCTGTAGCCCAGCTGGGAGCCCCTGACAGGGAAGTGTTGAGAACTGTGGCAGGCACAGTGTGGCCTATTCAAACGGAGGGGACAGAGAGGCCAGCAAGCAGTCCAAGGCAAGAAGAAAACAGATCAACTGTGTCCATTCCTGCTGCCAAGCCCTGGCTGTCTCCCCGATCTCAGAGTCCCCTGTTCTTCTACAGACACTTCCATGGGAGGCTTTGGAAGCCACAGGTAGAAGATTCTGGAACACTGAGAGAGGTCCAGGGTGTATTTTCTATCCTTCAGCCTATTCCAAGCATAGGATTGTCCTACACGCGAGGTGTGCCTCACAGGCTTCTGGCACACTGCCACCAAGTGGCAGCTGACACACACACACAAAAGCCACATAGGATTTGTGGTCGGCAGGGCTGAGTTCAAATCCCAATTATATCGTAACTTGAGGTAAGCTACACTGTCCCCAGCAGCTCATACATAAAGCCCAAGCAAGTCCCAAGAGGCGTGAAAGCCTACTGTAGATCCACCAGAGACACACAACAGGCCCTCACATCGATTCACCTATGAAGAGAAAGACCCAAGCAGCCAAGATGACCCATAGCACAGGATGAGTGTGCACCGCTGCCCCTGGTGGCTGCCCCGGGAACTGCACCTCAGCTCACCTTATTGGCTCTTTTTACCAAGAGAAGGCAAGATGAGCCCCTCCAGGACATAAAAGGAAACCAAGACCCACAAAGGTGAAGATACCATCTCAAAACTACTCTTCTAGTAGGTAACTTCACTCGGCTCATCACCACCCCGAGGAAACGTCCACACGGCCCAATCTTCTGATTTAAGACAACAATCAGGGGAAGGGTGGGTTTCACAGTCTCTTCCCAGTTCTAAGCTTTGCCTGCACCCAGGTTCCAGGCTCCTGGAATCTCCTGGAATTCTTGTTAGGTGTATAAGCTCTCTGTGCACGTGCAGATGCGGAGGCAGAGAGAGAATGCTCTGGGTCACAATGAGTGAGCTCAGTTAGCCAAACACTTTCTCTAAACCCCAAAGACAGCGACCCAGGTCTTCAACTACGGGGTAATTCACTCCAACTTCATGGAATCCTAGCAGGAGCCCATCCACCTACGTCCCAGCCCGTCCCAGTCCCCAGCCTGCTCACCTAGCTCCGAACTCTGCTGTGGGGTGGCTGTCTCCTCGTGGTTGGCCTCGTTGGCCATGGAGCGCGTGATGCGGCCTTTGCGGCGGCCTTGGCTGTTGGCAGTTTTGCGGCCTTTGGAGGCCACGGCCTCTTTCTCGTCATTGTCCTCACCAGAAGTGTCGTCTGTCTTCTCCCTGTTGTCAGGGAAGGGACACCGGGCTGGATCAGCTGGGGCTGGATACCCCAAGACAACTGGAGGACCCCTTTGGGTCGCTCCATCAGAGCTGGAGAGAGGAGAGAGCTGCTGCTGGCCAAAAGGGAGCTATGGGCTGACAGCGCCACAGGCAGGCAGGCCCCTGCAGCAGTACCTTAGCCTTGAAGGGCAGCGGGAGCCCCTCCAGGTATGGGTGAGAAGGGAGGATGTGAAGTCATCGGATTCCACATGTCACCGGTGGGGCCTCAAGAGATGCTCAATGACACCCACCAGCCACCACCATACACCAAACAGGCCAGAGGCCTACGGGACTCTATGGCCCCCTTTACTAGCCACAGAGGACTTAATTCTGCTCCTCTACAGAGCCATTTGCTCAGGGGATACAGGACTGCATGCCTGGGGAATCGCAGTCCAGCCCAGCTGTGGGGGTGCACATGACCTGGGAACCTGGCTTCTCAGAAGCAAATGGGACAGATTTATCACCTCTGTCACCCATTCATCTTCCTGAAAGATGCTGGCTGGAGCCGTGGAGACAGGGAAGGAGGAGGCTCTGATGTGCACGGGCCCAGCACAGCACCTGCGGCCCCTCCACCTTTTCCTGCTGGCTTGGAGCTGGCGGGTGCTGATGGGGGTGAGGATGAAGGTGGGGGCTGCCAGATGCTTGCATCCATGTTGCCCTCCCGAGGCCCTTCAGCTCTCTCTCCCTCATGGACCTCAGGGGCCTTGGAGGGGAGGCAAGGCTGAGTGCCAAAGTGGCTGTCTGGATTTATGAGTCCGGGAGCAGGGCTCAAATGAGCAATCAGTCTCCTAGGTCTCTGGGGGGTGGGGTGGGGGGTGTGCAGAGAGGGTGGGGGATGGAGGGAGCGGGGGCTGAGGCTTCCGGGAGGAAAGGCCTGGGAGAACTGACTGGAGCTCCAAACTGGCGCCAGGCTCTGCTCCCCAGGGCCCAGGTGTGAACGGCGCAGCTGCCAGGCCCTTACTTGCTGAGTTCTTCTTTCTCGTTCTCTGCATCCTGCTTCTCCTCCTCCTTGTCGGGCTCCTTCTCCTTCTCCTTCTCCTCCTTCTCCTCCTGGCTGCTCCGTGCCATCTGCTGCTGCTGCTGTTGCTGCTGTTGCTGCTGCTGCTGCTGCTACAGCCCGGGGAGCAGAGGCAGGAGGGAAAACGGGAGACAGGTGAAGCTGGGGAAGGGAGGGACGGTGAACGCAAGGGCCGGGGCAGCTGGGAAGCCAGCCGGCTGGGAGAGGTTGGAGTCAAGGGTGAAGCAGAAAAAGCACCACACTTGGGCACAGGGGTTCGAGTCCTGCCTTCTCCCCTGAGCCCACTGGAGTAACACCTGCAGAAAGCCCTGGTGGGGGGATGGGTAGTAGGTAGGATGCAGGCAGGCACACCAATCGGGGTGTGTGTGGGAGGGGGGCAGCTCTTTCCCTCCACTGTTCCTTCCTGGCAGAAAAACATTGGTACACAATGGCTCTGGGGCCTGTCTTTTATAGGATTAGACTACACTGGGGACAGACGGGGACATCATGGCACTGGTACACAGAGCAAGAACCTGACTTGTACAGCCGCTGTGGGTTCCTAAGGCAACACTTTTGCGTTCTGTGGAAAAGTCTCTCCAAATACCAAGACTCTCATATTCTCTAAGGGGCCAGGGCAGCCATTCCGCCCACAAGCAGCCATGTATGGCTGCTGGCTCCTCAGCTGGGTACCAGATGTCTGTCAGCCAGCCTGGGTCCTTCTTTCAGATTCTAACCCTCCATAGAGCCCAGGGACGAAGCCTCATTCTGGTAGACAGAGCCCCCTGAACCTGACACTGAAGGAGTTTCCTGTCAGTTCAACAGTGTCTCCTCTTCATGTGCCCAAGGTGGGCTATGGTAACTGAGGGTCAGAACTCAAAAGAGACGGAAGGTGGTTCGGGAGGAATTCCTGCTGCTTAGCCTTCTCAGCTGTCAGCACATCTGGCTTGAGCTGTCCCATACTGGGGCATATTATCCAAGTCACTCAGCTGTGCCTCCCACTGCCACATAGCATGGCTGGGTGGGGGACTCAGATCTGACATGAACCACAAGGTGTCCCTGCACCCAAGGCTGAGCCACTGTGGATGGGTGTGGCAGCAGAGGGTAGGTTACCCTGACCATCGATTAGCTTCTCTGTCTAACAGTGCCTTGGCCTGAACGAACCCATGTGCTTGGCCCCTCCTGGCTCCTGGACACTTGAAGCCGGCACTGGGTCCCTACGACCAGTCACTTAGGCTGGCAAACCCCAGCCTGCCAGTCTGGCTGGTAGCACTGGCCAGCCATGCCTAGGGATTTCAAGCTTGTTGTAACCTCATGGGCAGCTGTACTTTCTGATGTCCAGAGGCTGCCAGACCCCAGCCGTGCCAAGGCCACTGGGATCCCAGGCTGGAGGCAGCATCAATATTTTCAAATGTCCCAGCTTAGTCACAAGTATGTGGTGCACATGTATAACCCCGACACCTGGGAGGGAGAGACAGGAAGACTGCAGCGAATTCAAAAGGCTGGCCAGGGCTACACAGTGAGATCCTGTCTCAAAACCATCCAAATACAAATAAAATAAATTCCCAGCTTGTTCCGGTGCGGTGCAGACTGGCTGGCAAGTTCTTATCTAAAGAACTTCAGGCTGGACAAACCTATAGGTTCCAAGGCACCTGGCTTGGCTCTGCCCCTAGTGAGCAAATGGAAACGGACACAGGCCAGTAACACGGGTTTATTTACAAAAGCAAACGGGAGGCGGAGGTTAGCTACAGGCTGACTCTTGGGTGAACCCCGAGGCTCCAAATGTTTACCTAGCCCCTTGCAAGTCTGCTGCTAATGTCCTCAGACCAGAGTGAGAAACCGGCAGGGTTTCTGTGTCCCGTGGCAGAAAGGATGCCAGGGGAGACCTCAGCCCCAGCTTGGAGAGCCTCAAGAAGCAGAATGCCACCCTCCCCCATTGACTCCCACTCGTGCAGTACCAAGTGGCAATTCATCAGTGATGGGCAAGGTGACCACGTATGTCCCCCACCCCCAGATCACAGCACTGTGGACACCCTGAAAGGATCCACGGGGAGCTTCGGGCATCTGTTCATATCTGCTAGGATCCATTTTTCCTTCCAGACGGCCACAGTAATAAGGCCAGGTGTCAGCTGACAACACGCATGGGATGAGACTGTCCCCACATCACATGTCCAGCTTCTAGCTCCTCCCAACAACCCTGATATTACCTTGTTCCACATATAAGAACAAAACACAGAGAGGTAAAATAATCCATCTAAGGTCACACAGCATTTCCTAGCAGAGCCTGCAGCCAGATGAAACACCAAAGATAGCCTCCTCAGAGACTCTTGGTTCCTCCAAGTTAGCAGAACTGTCATTCCTACCCTAGACAAACTCTTGTCTACAGGAGTGTCAAGATCCCCAGAAGTGTAGAGACCAACCTTACAAACCATATTCAGAAGTTGATGGGGTCAGAACTGAGGTGTTAAGGGAGGCCAAAGGTAAAACCTTTGTGGCGGTTTGAGGATGCGTGGCCCATGGGAAGTAGCTACTATTAGGTGTGGCCTTGTTAGAGAAAGTGTGTCACTGTGAAGGTGGGGCTATATATGCTTAAATCTGGCCAGGGTGATCGTGACCCTCCTTCTGGCTGCCTTCAGATCAAGATGTAGAACACTCAGATCCTTTTAAACCACCACCATGTCTGCCTGGACACTGTCATGCTTCCTACCATGATGATAATGGACTGAACCTGTAAAACAGTAAGCCACCTCTAATTAGATGCTGACACTTAAAAAAGTTGCTTTGGTCATGGTGTCTCTTCACAGCAATAAAACCCTAAGAGAACCTTCAAAAGGCACAAACAGCCCTGTGTGGCCTGAAGTCACCGAGACCCTCCAGATGAGGAAGCAGGCCTGGTAGGACCCAGACCCTGTGCTGGGTCTTCAGGGCTGTGTGGTGGACAAGATCAAGGGAAGGGATTGGGGAGCCCCTGGATTCCATCCAAAACTTAAATAAACAAAGGAGAACCTGACAGCGCACAGCCATCCTGACTAATATACTCAGTCACTCATTCAATAAACACTGCACTACCAAGAACCGACAAACCAAACGCCCTGGCAAGTGAGTCGCAAGAGCTTCCTGTGTGGAGAAGGGGAGAGGCTGGGTGGGTGGAAGAAAACAGGGCTGGGGGTCAGGCTAGAGGAAGAACACGGTCTGCAGCTGGTGGTGCCCCCTTGGTGCCTGCTCTGGACACACCATCCATCTCTCCCAGGGACATATAACAAGGGCTGCAAGCTTGGCCCTCAACAGAGGTGTGTTGAAGTTACCTGAGTGTGTGGAATAGAAGGAGCCAACCATAAAGCGTGGCCACACTATCATTAACAGAAACACACGCCTTGTGGTTGGTTTGAGACCAGGGCTTTTTGGTGTTTTGAAGTAGGGTCTTACTATGTAGCCCCTGGTTAGCCTGGAACTCAATATATAATCCAGACTGGCCTTGAACTCAAAGAGGTCTTCTTGCCTTTGCCTCTTGGGTGCTAGGACTAAAGGCGTGTGCCACCACACCAGGCCAGAGATCAGCTTTTAAACAGGTATCAGGGGTTGAGTTACATGGTGCCTCTAAGGTCCAGCTGTGTGGTAACCGTGGTCCAGCCAGCCTATACTGTGAAGTCATTTCCACTGCTTGAACGGAGGTTCCCACTGCTTGAACGGTGGTTCCCACT